ACCGCATGTTTGCTGTCTGCCAGTCTTTTTTTCCTACACTTGGGGTCAAGTTGAAGGTGTGGAAGAATGTTACAAGGTGCATTCTACAACATTTAAAAAAATCACACTTAAATCCATGTTGCTGAAATGGTGATAAAGAAACAAAGCCATAAAGATGGTCTGTAAAGTACTAGGATATAGCTATAAAATAAATTTGAGGACAACAAAATGGCAAACAAGCATATTATGTTACATATAAGTGATCCAAAATTTGCAGTAACGGGTTGAAAGCAGCGTAGGTTGGTGTGAAGGATGTGAGCGTGCAAAGAAAAAGGATCAGAAGCCACAGTAACAGCTCTGTGCACATTTACATTTCCTCTCTTTACAGTTGTCTGCCTCTTTAGCTTTTCGTTATTGCTCTTCTTTTTCCTCTCCATTTTGGTCTCAGCTCATTGCTTTTGCCACCCATCTTCAGTTCCACCCGTGAGGCAACCCTACTTTACAAGCCATTTTTTTCATGTCAGGAGTGACTTGACAAAGTGCAAGTTGCTTCCGGTGTAAGATAATTGGCTGCCTGCAAGGACGTTGTGCAAGGGACACCTGGATGTTTTAGGTTTTTACCATCCTTGTGGGAGGGTTCTCTCATGTCCCTGCAATGGGAGCTGGAGCTGACAGAGGGAGCTCAACCTACTCTCCCTGGATTCGAACCGCTGACCTGTCGATCAGTAGTCCTGCCGGGCACAAGGGTTTAACCCACTGCACCAACTGGGAATGGGACTGATGTAACCTGGTTAGGATTTATCTGGAGCGCTTAGTCATTTAGACATTTGATAGGAGAACCAACCTGAGCTAAATGAATAGGAAATCTAAAAGGTTCAAATGAATAGGCAATAACAAGCTTGTAACTCAGTGCTAGACTGTTTCCCATGCTTTTATTCTCAGTTGTGAAGGCTCCCCCCTCCCCCCCAAACTGAAGCTTCATCTGTTTCCATATAAGCTCATCTTTAACAGTGCAAGGTTGGGAAATCAAGCTCATCAGATTTTCTTGGGTTGCAACTCCCATAATTCTTCACAGTTGGCTATGCTAGTTAGGACTGTTGGCAGTCATAGTCCAATATCAGTGATACCTCACATTCCCTAGTCTTGTATAGTGGAATTGGGACTGGAGTTTCTATGTTTGTATCCATACTATGCTGTGCCCATATCTTCCTAGAACTAGGAGAATTTAAAATGCAAAACAGAAATAATTATGTCTCTGGTAAGCATATCTTTGAAGTACTTAATCATGATTTCTAAATGATATGGTGTTGAGTAAAGCCTTGTTCAAGGCTGCCAGTCTGTTCAACTGATGATAGGTTTCCTGGTATTAATAGAAGTAAGAGTAATTGGTTTTTTAAAAACCATGACTGCTTTTAATAAGGTGAGGTAAGCCTCAATCTTGAATCTGGAGAAATTGCCTCGAAGCTCCCACTTGCAGCCTCCCCCTTCTTTCCTACTAAAGAAGAAAATATGATAACGATGGCAGAATTCACATTTTTTGCCCTGAAAAAACCCCCGCTGCAATACAGAAAATGTGCATTTAAATCATTTAAATTATTTTTGAATATCTTAAATAGAAGCAGTGTTGCATGAACCAATATCTTTCCATGGCCACTGTCTTAAACTGCAGTTTAACTGACAAGTTGCAGCTGACAGAATCTGGGATTTGTAGTTTGGTGGGGTACTAGAGCACTCTAGAGCACTAAATGTAGCCATAGCTACATTGTAGCCATAACAGTTAAGTGGGATCAAATTGTCATAATTGCATAATATAAAAAAAGACTTGTTTCTTTCTGTCTGAACCAGTGGGTAACCACCCATGCTATTCGTCCTTTCTTGTTGAAAATTGTTTGCTGACCTTCCCTTGTATTCCTGTTTTGTGGGAGTATGACATAGGAGCTGCTGGTAGGAGGCAGAGCTTGGACTAAGACCACTGTAACTGGAAAATTCTTTTGAAATCTCAAAAGTAATTCTTTCAAGCTCTAGATAGGAGGTATCATTTCCCTGCCCATTTTCATGTGGAATGTTGTGAATTTGCTGCTGTGGTGTTCATTTAAGTAACTGTGTTTTTGGAGCTCAGCCTTCCACAATTCTTATTGCTTTCCTCTTGAACAAGAAGAAAACTAACACCATCAATTGTATGTCCTTTCCACACAACAATCCTATATCATGTTTACTGTATAATTAAGTGCAGGAAGTGACGGGTGAATTTTGCTCTTCCCAGTAGACCAGTGGTTCTCAGCCTGTGGGTCCCCAGGTGTTCTGGTCTACAACCCCCAGAAATCCCAGCCAGTTTACCAGCTGTTAAGATTTCTGGGAGTTGAAGGCCAAAATATCTGGGGACCCACAGGTTGAGAATCATTTCGGTAGACTAAAGATACACCTACACCAGTGGTTCTCAACCTGTGGGTCTCCAGATGTTTTGGTTTTCAATTCCCAGAAATCCTAAGAGCTGATAAACTATATTGCCGAAGGTTTTCATGGCTGGAATCATTGGGTTGTTGTAGGTTTTTTGGGCTGTATGGCCATGTTTTAGAAGCATTCTCTCCTGATGTTTCGCCTGCATCTGTGAGCCACCTACAACAACCCAGCTGGTTAACTAGTTGGGATTTCTGAGAGTTGTAGGTCACAACTCCTGGGGACCCACAGGTTAAGAACCATTGACCTACACTGTAGGAATAATGCAGTTTGACACCACTGTCATGGCTCAATGTTATGGAATCATGGGATTTGTAGTTTGGTGAGGCACCAGCACTCTTTTGTAGAGAAGGCTAAAGATTTTGTAAAACTACAACTCCTGTGATTCCATAATACAGAGTCATGGCAATTAAAATGGTATCAATCTTCACTAGTTTTAGTGTATGCTCCATGAAAATAAACAGCATTTCCTAGATTGTCCTCATTAATATTTTTTCAAATTTGATCACACTGTAAGGTTACTTGACTATACATGCCCTAGATTTAATCTGTGAAATGTTGGAGTATGTGCAAGGCATCTGGATCAACATCCTATCAAAAACTATTGAGAGCATTGGCCTGTATGTGATACAGCTGTAGTTGGCATTTCAGAAAGAACTTTGTCCAAACTGCTGGGTTTTTTCTCAAAGCTTGCACACAACAGAATGCTTACTAAAATATAGCAAGCAACAGCTTTCTTGGATCTGCCTGTGCTCCTTAAGTTTAGCTCACCCATTTTGGAAGTCCTAAATGAAATAATTGCTGGAAATGTTGATACCATTTGGCATGCGACTTGAAGGAAAAGAAGGGTAGTAGGAAGAGAATGAAATCCCTTGACTTTGGTACTGTCAAGTCCTGTCTGGTTTAGATTAGAGTATGAGGAGGGAAATGGGGAGTAGCCAAGAAGGCATGAATCGCAATATCAGAGCAGTATAGTTTTTCAAAGCAGGAGTTACTGAAGAGAGTGCAGGGGTGGATCTTGGCTTGTTTTCTGACCTTGAGTAAGTGATTTATGGAGTGTCTTAAATGAAGGCTTTATGCCAGCCTACTTAAATGACCAGCTGCAGCCCTGGCAGTCTGTTGTCAGCAAGGCTGACACTGTAGGCACTGTAACTTTCCCCTTCCCGTCACTTATCCTCATTTCAAGCCTATCTAAGACCTTTCTTAAATATACAAAGACCCACATTTTAATTCTACCATGGAAGGAAATTTTGAACTAATTTTTTATAAGTGAGGCACAATAAATACTATATATTCTCATGTATAAGCCAACCTCATATATGACTTATACATAAGGGCATTTGGGGCCTGTATATGTTTGGTCTGTTGAAATATGGCATGAATTTCATATGAGGAATACACAGAAGTTGTTTGGTCAGTTCCTTCTTCAGAAATATATCCTACAGCACCTGTTACTCATTGATGGTCTCCCATCCAAGTGTTGGAAATAGCAACCTTCTCAAGCCTCCGCTAGTTATTTGTTATGTATATAATTCAAATAGCTTACTGTATTGCATACGTGTATATTGGTTTGCAATTTTACCATAACTCTTTGTTGTGGGCGGGGCTGCAGACCATGTTATCAAAACTGGGATTGTTAAGGACTCAGACTCCATTTTAGAAACAGTTTAGACTTCAGTAGAGAAGTATGCTTAGAGACTTCAGTAGCAACAGAAGTTTGCTTTCAGATGCCAGCAGGAACAGTATGCTTTTAAGAAGATAGTAGAAACAGTACAGTTTAGCAGTTAGTTGAAACAGACTACAGAGATTTAAAGGCAAATATATTTTAAGGGAGAGTAGATATTTTTGGGCAACTAAAAAGAACACTTCTAAAACTCTGCTGAATATGCATGCATTGGCATATCTTTGTCCCTAACAGTTCAAACACATGCCTAGTACATCAGTTTAACAGCTGAGAGGTCTAATTGCCTTGCATGAATGCCATTTTCCCAAATGGTTATCTCTCTTAACAGGTCATGCTTTTACCAAGAGGTTATGGCATCATTTTTCAAAAGGTTATGACTCCTTACAAGGTCATGCCTTTCCAAAGATCAGAAAACCTCCAAAAGGTTATGGAGATTTCCATTTTTCAAAACCCAAGTAGTTACCAGGGCTGACCCTGCTTAGGTTCCAAGATTAGGCAGCATCTGGTGCCTTTAGGTTGTGTATTTTGGCATATCATATTGGAGTGTACTAATTGCAATACCTTCTTTCTACTTCTTAAAAAAACCTGTGTAATATAATGGTTTGAATGTTGTACTAGGACTCTGGGACTGAGGTTCAAATGTCCACTCAGGTATGGAAACCCCCTGGTTTACTTTTGACTAATCATGCTCTCTCAACCTAAGAAGAATGAAATGGCAAACCTCCTCTGTATAAATCCTGCCAAGAAAACCCATAGGAGAGGTTCACCAAAAATTGGAATAGACTTAAAACCCCATAACAAAAACAATTTGCTCCTTTGGAAAAAAAAACTCTACTCTAGGGAGGGCTTTGTGTTTATTCTTGTGTTTTATTCTTTACAGGCAGGCCTGGGCTTTAGTTGGTGTAATTGGTGATGAAGAGTCATCTTGTAATGAGTCGGTGAGAGACTATGTGAACCACAACACGGGGAAAGCTCTTGCTCAAAAAGAATTTGTTACACTGGATGGTCAGAGGTTTGCTGTGAGAGCTTTCAGTGAGTGGCTGGATGGTAAGAGCATAGTTTTTTCTTTCTTTCTTTCTTTCTTTTAAATTTTCATCTGTCTTCTGCAGCTGGAACTGCTTAACTCTGAGTGTATCTTACTGCAGTGCATTTGTGTTTTTCATAGTATGCTTATAATCTGGTTTGAAGCCAGAGGTTCTGGGACCTCCAAAAGTATCCAGAAAAAATGTAGACTATATTTTTTTATACCTGTGTTTATAGGCCAAGACAATAAAGGATAGAAAGTAGAAAGCATATACTGGCTTGCTGCTGATGAAAAAGAAAATTCTCCTGCTTTGTACATGCTACAATTTTGCATTAATTCCCTTTTTGGTTTCTCCATTAAATAAAACATCAGCATTTTAAAAATATACCTTAGAAAAGAGTTTCTCTAGGAACTGCCTAGTAACTCAGATAGACTGAAAAAAATACGTCCTTGCTCTGAAGTGTTTACTAGCCACAGCAACTGGAGTTGGTTAAGAAATACTTTTCTGTGTACATAAGAGTATAGCAATTGCAGCGTGTCCTTAGCCACCTTCTTAGCTTTGAGCAGGAAAAGGAAACTGTGGTCTTGGCAACTCTGCCATTAATGTACTGGAAGAGTAATTACCTGGCACCAAATCTGTTTTAGCAAGAGGTACATTCCTATTCTAGTCCATCTAACTTGGAAAAAAAAGGTTGTTGCACTGCTGCCTGGTAGACACAAGCAAACTAGATGTTCATCCCTTTACGGTGTTTCATATCTGGCCACGGTCTAGAATTCGTTTAGGTATAGTCATGCTGGATGATTGGCATGACTATAATTCTCTTTGATAATCTTCTAGTTCTTCCAGTGCAATTCTGTGGGAATCCTGTGATATTTTTACAATGTGTATGTGTTTTAATTATTCTCTAACCAGCCTTGAGCCACAAGGAGAGATGGGTAAGAAATAAAATTATCATCATCATCATCCAGGAGAAGTTGATCACAGAGTTATGCTGGTAGACCTAGAAATTCTATATAATTGCTTTTTCGAGTAGAAAGAAAAAGCAGAATTTTTATTTGGGGATTTTTTTACTTTCATGTGCCCCTAACTCTAGTGGATGTGAAGGGTTGACTATAATTGTTTCTATGCAGTCTTATCGAGGGAAAATAGTATGGTCCCTCTCCTGTTGTACCCACCCTGTCAAGAGGAAGGTGGGATATAAATTACTTAAACAAATGTGTTCTTTCTGGTTTATTTAAATTTTGTTCTTTATGTTTGGGGAGTCACCTAAGTATGAAGAAAAGCCTACTTCTTGTTGTTCTCCATTTTTTGGCATTGGTTGCTAAATTTACTATTACAATAATTAGTTTTTGGGAAGCTGACAATCAGTGAAGGTCCAGGTCATGAGGCAGAGATAAATGATATACTTTCATTTCCAGCACTATGCCATTATTTTGATCTTGTAAATTTGGTTTGAATGTGTACTTAATCATTTTAAGGGAGCTGGATATCTTTTTAGGCCAAAGAGGAAAAGGTGATGTGACAGCCATGTTTAAATATTTGAAAGCTGTCATATTGAAGATGGAGCTAGCTTGTTTTCTGCTGCTCCAAAAATTAGAATATGAAGCAATAGGCTTAAACTATAGAAAAAGATTCCACGTAAAACTTCTTGACGGCAAGAGCTGTTTGGAATATGTTGCCTTGGAGGGTGGTAGAGTTTTCCTCTCTGGAGAATTTTGAACAGGGACTGGATGGCCATTTGTTGGGAGTGTTTTGATTGTGTGTTCCTGCATGGCAGAGTGGAGCTGAGTTGGATGGCCCTTAGCGTCTCTTCCAGTTCTACTATTCTGTGTAAACTACTGAGCATTTGGTAAAGCTGTGTCAAAACATAGGCCCTAAATATATAAAATCGCAAGAGCTTTATATATGTATATATGTATTGGTTTAAGGTGTTCCAAAGTGGGGTTTCCAGATTGAAGCAGTGGATGGAGTGATACTAGATCTCTCAGAGGATGTTAGCAGCTGGAAGCCTGAAGACCAGATTGTTGTTGCAAGCACTGATTATTCTATGTACCAGGCAGAAGAATTTAGCCTCCTTCCTTGTCCAGAATGCAGCAAGTACCAAGTCAAAGTTAGAGGTAAGTACTGAAAGAGAAGCAAAGGTAAACAAAAGGAGAAAGCTTTGTAGTATGATTTGTGGTCCTTCCACTTAGTGTTGATGCATTATATTTCTAGTCCATTGACTTTCTAGCTATGAGAGCCTTTTCAGCAGTGTTAGCATCTAAAATTGACATTTGACCCCGACATTGTGTACGCCATTGTCTATCAGCGGGTACTTATGAAAGAAAGCTTCTGATCCCATGTTGTGTAACAAATGTCATTTGATTCCAATCTGTTGGGTTCATCTTTTTGTAGGGTCATTAACAATGGTTTTCCTTTATACTGAGCAATTTCCTAAATACTTTACTTGCACTGTTTTGGGGTACTTACATTTCTGTACTACACAATATTTCCAGACCATTCAAAAAATAAAACTTCAATGAGTCAAAGGGTGAAAAAATGCAGCAGTTGAAGAAACAAAAAAGCAGCTCAATGACTGCACAGTGCCCATTGACCTCAGTTTTAGCCACTTTATGGAAATCAAGGGACCTCCTCGGTTCTGCCCATTGGGATAGCTGGAATAGGATTGTTTGAATTGTCATGAAGTGGACAGGGCTTTGACAAGAGAACCTGCCACACTAGTAAGGAAGTTTTCCACAGCACTCTGGAATTAGTAGGAATCCTGCACCCTCTAAAGCTTTAATAAATTTCTCATTTTTTGGAAATAAAGACTTGGTAGAAAGTATTCTGACTGTGACAAGGTGATAGATGTAAATTCCCCCACCTACAGAACACAGTGTTCCTGTCACAGATACTGAAAAATCAAAATCAGTTGTGTCCCCTGTTGCAAATGTTGGACTGAGGTTGTGTTTTGAACATCCTGATAGTTCTTGTGACAACCATGAAGTTTTGTGAAGTCTAAGGTATATCATTCTAAGCATAGCATAGGATTGGGAACTCTTTGAATTGCAATAATGAGTGTGCTCAACGCCAAACATGAAGACATTGCTGTCAGCTCATGCAAGCATACTGATAAGTAGTTATGAGGTGGGCATTACAACAGCATACTCCCTAATCTGTTTTGGATATCAAATCAAGATACCTAGGCTCAAGATTAGCATTCAGTTGGACAGAAAAGTGGGAAGAGATTGAAAAAGAGAACACCAACATTGACCCTTGAGTCTATCTTTCTGATGCTTCTCTGAGTGTCAAGGAAGGTGCAGCTGGAAGAATCTAATCTCCCATCTACATCTCAGAAATGTATACAGATTGAGTATTCCTCAATGGGATGCTGTTTTATTCATTTTTATGCCAATTTGTACTGTGTTTTATTGATTTTTAAATTGGACATTTTTTGTAATGTGTTGTTTTTATCTTAACTGATGTTGTCATTGTTTAATATGTGGTGTAATTTTAGCTCTCTTTTTATGTGTTATGACACCTGTGCTTCCGTAAGCCGCCCTGAGTCCTTCTGGGAGATGGTGGCAGGGTATAAATAAAGTTATTATTGTTATTATTAGTAGTAGTATGATTATTATTTACCCATATTCCAAAATGCACCAAAATTCAAAACCGTCCATAAGGATACCTGAGATAACTTTGCTTACTGGCAGTATAATGTATGCAAACTTGCTAAAATATAGAGTATAAAATTATCTTAAGGCTATGTGGGATGAGGGGTATATGAAATATAAATAAAACTGTCTACACATGGGTTCCATTTGCAAGATATCTAACTATATATACAAATATGGGGATTGTATAATCTGAAAAGCAATCTGAAATCCAAAGCACTTTTGGTCCCAAAAACATTTCAGATAAGGAATACTCAGTCATATCGCCCTGCCAACTGAAGTGCAATCATGAATTATAGTTATTTTGTTTTGTACCAAGCTTTCATTCAACAACAGTTCCTGCAGACCCAAGAGCAAGCTGGTAATGCAACCAAGAAGCGTGATCTGTTCATAGTACCCAAGTTTTTCAATGAATTTCCAGAATATGTATGATCCCTAGATTAAGAAATATCTACCTATCTATAAATCTTAATTAGGTGCTAACAGGTTATAAGGATGGGGGAGAATGCTATTCTATCAGGCAAGGCATTGGTTCTGTCCCTCTCTGTTGTCTTGGTATAACATATAGCAGGGAACAAGTACTTGACAGGTTTACATGCCCCACTTGATCTTCTGGTTGTTGATCTTTTCCTTTTAGAATTACCATCCAATCTTAACCCTAAAAATATTTTTCGGGGTCACTGTTTTGGCCATAAAGTAAAATAAAACAAAATCTACAAAGGAGCAATACCTCTGGTGACCAGCCAAATGCACAAAACAAAATATATTCAGGGGTATTGGCCACGCAGAAAAATAAAACAAAAATCTACAAAGGAGTGATACCTTTAGTGGCCAACCAGGTGCACAAAACATGTTATGCAAGTTTTTTTTAAAACTCCACTTCATCAAGAAAAAAAAATATTAACTTTAATGTCTTTTTATAGCTTGCATGATCTGTTTTGTGCATTTTTGTTGGTATCACTCCTTTGATGATAAAGATGTTGCTCCTTTGTGGATTTTGGATTTTCTTTTACCTTATCCACTGTTGAGACTAAGTAAACTTGGAAGCAGATTGTGATTCAGATGCTTGATATGTTACATTTCTTCTTAGGTTATGGCTTAAAGACTTTGTCTGAGAAATAGAAGTATGATGCAGCATGGTAATGAGATAAATCACTTGGAAAAAGTCAAAGGGGAAATTTCCCCAATGATTTGTCTGTGCATTCCAGTGTTGTTGAGTGGAGAGGGGCTGCCCTCTGAAAAAACCAAGTTTAAAGCAAAACAATCCCCTTATGACTTTGCATCATAGATCACTATGCTTTGGACCTTTAAAATGTGGCTGTTTGTTTAAAGTAATGATATTTTAAACTTAGGAGATCCATTGGGGGTGGGTGGAGGGTGAAATCAGAATGATGTTAACTGAGGATAGCCACAATGCACAATGTGATATGTTGAAGCCTGGAGTTATTTGAATACAAAAACTAGATGGGAAAGTTGCCATGGAAATAAGAAATATTCTAAATAATTAAGTGGGCTGGTGAATATCCAAAAGGGGATTTGATTACATTGACATTGAAGTACTACTTAATTACTATTGAGAAAGAATGGTAGAATTATCTTGCAAGAAGTTGGGCATAATTTGTGTAGTCTTGTGAGATATTTCTCATGTTTTAATAACTACTTAAGATATGTCCTCTTTCTTGCCAAAAATATACATTTATATAAAACAGATTTATTCTAACTTCACAATTATGCTTGTTCTAAGTACACAATGGCTAAGTAAGCTATCCTAGCAAGCCAGAGATGATGCATTCCTGGAGCAGATGATCTAACGTTCTGAAAGAAGAGATGTAGTAATGAATGATTTTATCTCTCCTAATATTGGTAGGGTTAAACTCTGCCAAGAATGCGAAGTCCAACAAATTCTTCACTTGCCTTCCAGGTAATTTCATTGTCCTGATAGTAAATGAGGCAACAAGATGATTGGCTGTTTTAGAGCTGATCCTAACAAGCAGTGATGGCTTGGTTAATGGGATGGAAGTGTTGAGATCCCAAGGTGGAAGTAACTATGTTCTCCTGGAGTTTACTGCACAATAGAAAACGGAAACCAAGCAGAGACTTTGAGAAAACTGATTTCAATAAATTTCGGATGCATTTACACTGTAGCATTAATGCAGTTTGACACCACTTTTAACTGCCATGGCTGAATTGTACCACTGCCCTAGAGAGAAGGTATGAGAAGAGAACTATTGTCTTGGTAGCAGTTGGCTACTTCTCAGAAATCATTTCATTAGAAACTGGTGGAAACTTGTGACTAGTCATATTAAGGGACTCTAGTGAATGCAACTGAGAGTACATGGTTGAGTGGCAGGAAGGACTCTGACTGCCCAAATGTGGGTGGTGGCTAAGGAGAGCTAACTGACAGAGGCAGGGACAGGCTGGTGTAGCACAGGAATTCAAGTTTATGTGGAGGATTCAGAGTTCTGAGCTCTGTTATTGGGGAGTAAGGTACAACTCCTAGAATCCACAAAGTGCTGGCTGGAGGATTCTGGAAGCTATAGCCAGAAAAGTAACTTTTCCATGATTTGAAAGGAGTACATAGCATAATGGTCTGAGAACTGCTTGCATAGAAATTCTTCTTCTCAAGGTCTGTGCCTTTAGTACCATATGAATCCTGAGTATTCTCCAAGGGGAACCTTTATGTATGTTGCCCCTTCTGCTTGAAATACAACCTCTTCATCTTACTTGTGAAATGTTATTCTCTGCTTCTTTTAGTCCTCTGACTTTAGCATCTGCAGATAACTTGTGCCAACTCTCTCCCATGAACAAGGAAAGGCAAGCAAATTATTCCCATATGGCAGCAGTTCCTCAGCTTTCTATTCCTTTAATATCCAGTTTCCTTCAGTGTTCCAAAAATCTGTCAAGAGCCTCATCTTTTCCTACTTCTCAGGCATGTACAGTCTTGCTGGGCTTTGATGCAAGGAATCAACTTCCCTTGAGCTGTGAAAACATGCAGGGTTTTCCTTGTTATCCTTGTATGGTTTGCATGCTACTCGCAGCTAATGAAGTACAGATTGAGGAACCCTTATCTGAAATGCTTGGAACCATAAGCGTTTTGGATTCCCCCCCCCCCCCTATTTTTGAATATCTGTATTTGAACATACGTCCATAATGAGGTATCTTGGGACCTACATCTAAGCACAAAATTCATTGATGTTTCATATGTACCTTATACACATTGTTTGATCAAAGGTGAATCTATCACAGGAATTGTTTTTGGAAGGAATTGTTTGGATGAGTTTTTCCTTTGCCTTTGTCAGAGGCTGAGAGAGACTGACTTTGTCAATGTTTCCATCAATAGGAACCCTGTTCTCCAGAGCCTAGTTCAACACTCAAACCACTATAACATGCTATACCAACACCTACATGGCTACATAGGTCTCATGGGACCACTGTAGCAATGTTGTTGTTGCTGTTGTTCATTCGTTCAGTCGCTTCCGACTCTTTGTGACTCATGGACCATCCCAAGCCAGAGCAGCCTGTCGGCCACTACCTCCCCCAGCTCCTTCAGAGTCAAGCCAGTCACTTCAAGGATACCATCCATCCATGTAATCCATCCATCCATGTAACAATGGAAAGTCCTAAATTCATGCTTTTAGGAATAATTATTTGGAAACTAAAGTGTTTGCAAAAACTAGAATGAAGAGCACAATTTCTTCTTTTGGATGCACCATCTGACTGTTCTTTTCCATACCTTGAAGCCAGTATGCTAGTAAAAGGAATGTTTACTATGGCATATGCAAATGTCGATGGAAAATGTTTCATTATGTAGAAGAAAGATGAACAGAGTCCTCTGAGGATAGAAGCAGTTTGCATTTTTAATATGGAGGGGAAAGTAAGAGAATTCATGAAAACAATACAGACTAGAAATATGTTGCAGAAATAATTACACACTTAAATATCATAATATTTAGCTCAAAATTATTACTAACTACAGCTATGAGACTTATAAATCTGTTTAATTTTTCAGCTATTGAATAGATTAATGGTATTAACTTACCCTCCTTCCGAGTGTCCTGTTCTAGCTTCCAGAATTAATTTTAAATGTGCATAAATTAGGAATTGGAAAGACAGTAATTTATGGTGCCATATACATTTAACTTCAACTAGTAATACAATATAATTTTAGATGATATGTTTGTTTTGTTTTATATACCTAATACACCTACCGTCTCTGCCTCTATCATATTTCTTCTTAGTTACTCTGGTTTCTCTTTAGATTGTATTTATTATTTATTTATTTCCTTCATTTCTACCCCGCCCTTCTCCCACAAGGGGACTCTTTTGCCTTTTACTAACTAAGGAAGGGGAAAATACAAATGGAATATAGTCCTCAGCCAGTTGTTTCTCTCCAGATCCCATATTTTTCATAAAAGGGAAATGCAAAATCACCCTTAAAATGCTCCATAGTGCCAGCAAAAACAGGGCTATGCAGTAAAATGCTACTAGCGCAACACCTGGACTAAATGAAAAACTGAAAATTGACAGAAGGGAAACCTTGAAACCTATGAGTGCAAACCAGAAGTAACCTCCATTCACTTCCAGTCTCATTTTTAGATGAAAATGCAATAGTAAGACTCATTGGCAGGGTGAAATTTTCCCTTTGCTCCTGCTGTTGCCCATCCCAATCTAAAGTTATATAAAACAAAAATGGTGCAGGTTTTCTCTATTTTTATCTAGTTCTAAAAGGGTGTGTTTCACCCAGAATGAAGAGAGTTCTAAGGAACAACTGAATTTAATATTTTTAAATGGGAGAATAGCCCATGTCTATTCAATCCTCCAAAACTTAGTTTTGTCATTGTCATCAAATCATCACAGTACCTCGTAGCACCTAATTTAAATGTTTGTAATAACAGGTAAGGGTTTCCACTTGACATTAAATCTACTCGTGTCCAACTTTGGAGGGTGGTGCTAATCTCCATTTCTAAGTTGAAGAACTGGCATTGTCTATAGACACCTCCTAGGTCATGTGGCCGGCATGACTGCATGGAGTGCTGTTGCCTTCCAATCTATTGATCTCACATTTGCATGTTTTCGAACTGCTAGGTTGGCATAAGCTGGGCCTAACAGCTAGAGCTCACCCCACTCCCCAGATTTGATCTGCCAACTTTTCAGTCAGCAAGTTCAGCAGTTCAGTGATTTAACCTGTTCTGCCACCAGGGGCACCCTAAAAATGTTTGCAATGGGGACCTAAATACGAGTTTATTTAGTTATGCATGAAAGAGTGAATAATTTTAGCATTTTCTTCTCTACTTTGTGACTAATTTTGTAGAATTTCGAGCACTAACAGCTTGTTTGGGAAAAATTCATTTGAGCAAAAAACGTGTGGGTTTTTGGGTAGAAAATGTGGTTTCAGGTCAATATCACACATTTTGAACACTTACATTTTTCAGAAAACATATAAAGGCAAGTTGTGTAGACATCTGTGAAATTTTGCCAATTGTGTAAAGTTGCACAGATTGCATGAAACTTCTGCAATTTTCCCATATGGAAATGCCATGTGTAGTTTTGCTGCATCTCAATGGCTGAGATCCTGCATTGTCATATGATTTCAGAGCTGTACTGTCATTCTGGCTTTGAAGCATTTTCCTGGTACTTAGATTTTGGTGCTTCCCTTCGACAAAAATTGTAAATTTAGTACAGATACAGTATATGTGAGTGAGAGTTGGCATATCACAGTATCTGGTTAAAATTTTGCCTCTGCTATGATCTTATGATGGCTTTAGGAAAGCCCTCTCTGTTTCTCTCTTTCCTCTTTTCAGCCCTAGGGCTTTGAAGTCCCCCCCCCCCAATCCCAGCCTTATTTCTCACATAGGTAATGTGGAGGACAATAGTACATTTTTTCTTCCAAAATTGTTATGATTGCAGCTGCATAGCTCATAGAAATTGCTTGAGTGCTCTATGCAGATGTTGTTCATGATGATGATATGCTTAAAAGAGACAGCTCTGAGTGATTATATGGAACTGTAGGAATTGAAAGGAGAGAAAACCAAACAAACCTATTGCTTGTTATTCACCTAATGATTCTATATCTAATTTTAGTAATTTTTTAATGACTTGAAAATTGCCATTCATTGTTCGTATGCCATTGTTGCATAATTAGTAGGGAAAAAAATCAACATTGTCATTACAGCCTTTCCAGACTCCCCTGTACATTTTTTCCCCAAGTCTCCTGCTTCAGCAGTGAGTTTCCTCTGTTCTTTTTAGTGTGCTCTCTCTCAAGGTTGTTGCTGTAATATCCGGAGAAAGTTTCCTTTTTGGGAAAAAAAATGTTGTGTGTGTGTTAGAGGGAGAGAAAGCATAAAGAGATTTTTTGGTAATTTTTCAAGGACAGTTTTAAGGATAAATAAAAAAAATGGCATAGAAGTGCATCTTGCCATATAAAAATGCATACAGCAAAACTTAGTATGAATAAACAGAAAACTTTAACAATATTGATAGGCCAAGCAGCTTATAAAGTAAATGTAAAACAATTGCCATCCAAAATGATAAATGAGTTGCTTCAGGATGACTCTACAGCTCTCCTTTTTGATGTGAAAGATGGAAGGAAACTGGGTTTTAGGGGAGGAATTGTTTCTTCCCTGTCACAGCTGTCTGGCAATATTTTTTTTTCAGATCACCAAATCCTTATGAGCCAGTTAGTTAACCAATTCTGTATTAAATGGAAGCCAGAGTAATTATTGAAAGTTGGCGGATTGTCTATATATGTGATAGAGAAGTATTGACCATCTTGTCTTCCTTTCATGTATTTTCTTTTTGAAATAGAAACTCCTCAGTTCCACCATATCGGAGAAATCATTGATGGAGTGGACATGAGGGCTGAGGTTGGACTTCTCACCAGGAATATCGTAATAAAGGGAGAGGTAGAAGATTCCTGTTATACAGGAAAAGAGTGCCGATTCTTTAATTACGATACTTTTGGTGGACACATTAAGGTAGGAGTAATTCACTAATAGCTTCCTCTCAATTTCCTGTTGTGTGTCCCATAGCTGCTGTAGACATGTGGTGGCCTTCCTGCCTTTCCTTTATATGCAGTCAATGTGTAAGATACTAAGCCCATGAGGGTTTGTGTGTCAAGCTATTTAACATTACTACTGTTTGATGGATTGTGAATACGTGAAGCTGCTTTTATACCAAATTCCCATTCTAACCCACTTTGATTGGCAACAGGTCTTCTGGCATCTCTTGCCTGACATCCTTTTTATTAGAACTCATGGGGATCAAACTTGGAACTTTGCTCACCTACGGCATGTGATCTGCCTATTGTTCTGGTTTTCAACACAGGATTTCAACACTTTCCCCATTGTATCTATGAAATGGTTGCTATAGAGTTTGTTGAATACACAACAGCTTGTCAGTCTGCAATTAAGCACTTGGTTGAATTACTCATTTCTTCTCTTCCAGATTACGAAGAACTTCACATCTGTTCATCTGTCCTATGTGGAACTTAAACAAATGGGTCAGCAGGTGTATGGTGCTTACCCTGTTCATTTTCACCGTTGTGACGATGTGGATGAGAAAGGAGGGTATAACTACAGGACTTACATAGAAGGCCTCTCAATTCATCATTGTTTCTCCAGATGTGTTACCGTCCATGCAACAAATGGCTTGTTGGTAGGAATAATAAATAATGTGAAATTACTGTTTAGAAATGGGGGTTGGAAAGAACAAGCATACTTTTGGTTGGATCCATTGAAAGTTTCCTAGAGTTTCCTAGACCATTCTCCCATATCAACTTATCAAGCCACAAGAGATCTTGAGGTCCTGCTAAATAGAGTTAGATGTGGGAAAGAGAGAGAACATCTTTCAAACACTGGGTAGAACTATGCAAGATAGAGCTCCTTCCATTCCTTGAAGGCAGATCTTGGATCCTTTCAGTATCCTTTTGTAAAAATTGGGGATTTCTGGAACCTTGGCAGAATTATTTTGACTAAGACATGCATTGAGGTGGTATTAACAGCAGTCTACCAGAGATGAGAATTTTTATGACAAAAATAATAGATGTTTTGATTACGAAGAAGACAGCAAAGACAGGGTAGGAAGCATTAGTTAGGGCTTTCTATTTTTCATTTCTCAACTTTTCTATCTAATTTTTCAAAACACTGTATACCTTCTTTTTTATTATTCTGTTTTCTTTTCTCTCTCCTTTCTCTTTTTACATCATAAAAATTAGACAGCAATGGAAGACGAAGATGTAATATGTTAGAAATTCCTGTGTTCTATATTCACTCTTGTACCCATCTCTTATACATTTGCAATAAAATTATATGGGGAAAAGAGTCTGTTAACAGTGGCCTTGAATTAAAACCTTACAGAATGAGTTGAAGGCATGATAACACTTCATAGTCTAATTTTGAAGAATAATGGCTACAGTATCTCTTTCCTGTTTTTTTCTGTTTCCTCTTCCTTCCTCAAATACAAGAAACTTCTTCAATCTGCATCATGATTAGCATTGTCTTTGCACCAATGTTATGCTTGCCAGGATTAGCTCCAAACTGCAGTATTGAACCATGGTTAAAAATAAAATTACAGATCCCTTGGGCAGGCAGTATTAATCAGGCTTACCACTGAGCAGGAATCATTTGCACATTTGGGAAAAAGCTAGTGAGGCACTTCTGACCACTTTTTTTTCTCTAAATAGAACATTGATGTTGAGTTATTAATCCTTATCTCTGATATTAGATGTAATTATCATGACTGCATAGCCTAGTGACTACACCATTGTTGTTCCCTCTGAATTGGGAGAATTAAGTTGAGAATTAACTTTGTCTAAGCAGATCTCTCTCAGTTTCTGGAAGTATTATGACTGTGACTTTTGAAGTTAGCTATTGCTGTCTGGTTCTGATGCCCACTGTCCTTCTTACCCTGATAGTTGGTTGCCCTTAGGAATCTTAAACCTTCAGGGCACCTCTCTATTTCATTCGCTTGCTTATATGAAGTAATGGGCTGAGTACTGTAAGAAGATGTTAACCATTTTAGAATTTTCCTTATGGGATTAAGCTTTGAATAGCATCCTTAAAATCAAGCAAACTGCATGATCACCACTAGTTTATAAGACTGCATATATGGGAAGGGCACCAGTTTGGGTTGCTGAGGCAGTTTTGTTCCCACATTCACTACTGATAATAGAGTTAGAATGACATCAGGTTAGTATTTGAGCTTTGGCCATTTTTTCCTTTATGTTAATTGTTCTGGAAGAATATTCAAAATAAATTTCTCTGATTATTGCCAGATATCTATAGATAGGGAGCCCCCAGTGGCACAGTGGGTTAAAGTGCCGAGCTGCTGAACTTGCTGACCGAAAGGTCACAGGTTCAAATCTAGGGAGTGGCATGAGCTCCCGCTGTTAGCCCCAGCTTCTGCCAACCTAGCAGTTCATAAACATGCAAATGTGAGTAGATCAATAGGTACTCTCCCGGCGGGAAGGTAACAGCGCTCCATGAAGTCATGCTGGCCACATGATCTTGGAGATTAATGCTAGCTCTTCGGCTTAGAAATAGAGATGGGTACTATAAAGAATTTAAAAGGCTTATCGAGGCAGAGTGGACACAACGATCACACCTCTGCCCTCAGTATAATACAAATTAGAGGTTTGACCACAGGATAAATGTGAAAGTGACCGAATGTTCTTGGTAATATTTGCCGCCACCACCTCAGAAATTACTGGCCTGAGGAACCATAAGGGTGTGAATGTATTATAGGTAATGTGGGTTTGAGTTCTTGATCTTCTATGGCTTCCTCCCTAGCCGACTGGACTTTAAAAATGAGTCGTCTGAATAAGTTACTGAGAGAACAGACGGATTGAGGCATAAAACAGTTGAAAGTTAACTAAGAAAGAGTTTATTTTAACTTTAGAATAACAACAACTCATTGGAAATGAGGGGTACAGAATCTTGATGCAGTTGCAGTAACTTGGTTGCTTGAACAGACAGTTCCCCTGACAGAATAGCTTTAACCACTGTGAGGCTTCTATAGCAAACTGTTCTATCTTTAGACACAGTTTCTCTTAGAGCGCAGACTCCCGTCTGCCTCAACTCACTGGGCTATAAGGTATCTTTAAACCTCTCTTAAGTTTAATAAGACACAGCTCTCTTTTACTAGTCCTTTCGACGTAGTAAAACCCTAGCCTAATGTCTTCACCTTATTCCCAAACCTATAGGCTCACTAAAAGCTCTTCTTCTCCTGTCAGTTCCCTGCTGTAACTTCCTCTCTAAAAATCCACAACCTTCTCTCTCTCTAGTCTAAGACCTCTTCTTCCTTTTGTGTCAAAACTGGCAGCTTATTTTCCCTCTCTAAGCTGACTCCTCCCCCAATTGCTACACCCAATCAGGAGTCAGCCTGAGTCCTCCTCCTGCTCTGCTTGACTACCAAGATGCCAGCCACTGCCATGCAGGCTTCGGCCTAGCTGACCAAAAGGTAGATCTATTACATCATCTCCCCACCTTAAGTTCTTTCTGTAAGACTCAGATTTTTAATCTAAGGCTGCAAGAAAGGGTTTCTCATGAAGAGAGCTAAGCTTACATTAACTTCCTTTTCTTGCACCTAACTAATCCACTAACCTAATCTAATCTAACTAAGGCAAGGGCATTCTACCTATCTTCCTATCCTGCATGCTACCTAACCTATCTAAACATCCTATCTAACATATCTAAACATTCCTATCTAACAGGTTCACAATCCTAACTAACATTACATTGCATGCTAAACAACAATTGTACACAGTACAATACTATGCATGTTATCTAAGCATTCCTGCAATGTAAACCATACAGTCAATACATTTATACATACCTGTAAGAGAAAACATGTTAGATAAAATCCATTTCACTGTACAATACATTACCTTACACAATATGCTCTATAATACAATTACCTATACCATTACCTGTACAATTATAACAACCTTGACAATGCGTCTGCGACCACATTTTGGGTTCCCTTGATGTGTCTAACCTCAAAATCATAGTCTTGCAGGGCTAAACTCCACCGAATCAGCTTACTGTTGGTGCCTTTCACCTGGTGCAACCATTTCAGGGGCGAATGATCAGTACACAAAACAAATTTCTTCCCCCACAAATAAGGTTTAAGCTTAGCGGTTGCCCAAATAATAGCCAAGCACTCTTTCTCAATTACAGAAAGATGTTGCTCTCTCTCTATGAGCTTACGGCTCAAGTATAGCACCGGTTGGGAATTTCCTTGGTCGTCTTCCTGGCTAAGGACCGCTCCTAGCCCTACATTTGACGCATCGGTGGTAAGGACAAATGGTCTCTTAAAGTCTGGAGCTCTTAACACAGGGGCTGTTGTTAGGGCTCCCTTCAACTTCTCAAAAGCTACCTCACACCCCTGAGACCACTCCAACTTATCAGGTCGACCCTTCTTGGTTTCATCCGTCAACACAGCTGCTAAAGTGCTGAACTCCGGGATGAACCTTCGGTAAAATCCTACCACTCCCAAGAACGACCTAAGCTGRTTCTTGGTGTGGGGTCTGGGCCACCCTCTAATGGCTTGGACCTTGTCTAGGTCGGGTATGATGGTACCTCCTCCCACCAAGTGACCTAGGTATTTCACCTGAGGTCTGGCCAACTGGCATTTCGATGCCTTGACTATGAGACCAGCCTCTTGTACCTTCTTCAATACCATCTCTAGGTGTTGCAGGTGTCCCTCCCAGGTCGAACTAAATATTGCCAGGTCATCGATGTAAGCCTGGACAAACCCTCACATGCCTACAAGCATTCGGTCAATCAGCCGTTGGAATGTGGCCGCTGCGTTTTTTAGTCCAAAAGCAAGCCGGGTGAACTGAAATAACCCATCCCTGGTTATAAAAGCAGTCTTTTCTATATCCCCGGGATGCATTTCCACCTGCCAGTACCCTTTGGTTAAATCTAGGGTGGAGATATATCTGGCAGCGCCTATGGTTTCTATCAGCTCGTCGATCCTGGGCATGGGGTACACATCTGATGTTGTGACCTGGTTCAATTTTCTGTAATCCACGCAGAACCTGATGGAGTTGTCTGGTTTGGGCACCAAGACTACTGGGGATGCCCAAGGACTAATAGAAGGTTCCATTAACCCCAATCTAAGCATCTCCTGGATCTCTTTGGTTATCACCTGCGCCTGTTCACCGGTCACTCTATATGGGGATGATGACACGGGTTTGGCGTCACCAGTGTCAATCCTATGACATGTTAAGTTTGTTCTCCCTGGAACATTGGAGAACACACCCTTAAACCGATGCAACAGCTCCCCTAGCTGTTCCTTCTGAGCAGCGGTTAAGTGTTCGTTTCCCTCCACCACTGGCAAAGAGTCCTCTACACATATTTTCCCCCATCCCGCCAGAGTCAGATCTCCCTCCTTCTCTGCGGAACGCTTTAKCACAAAGTTCGTTCTGAGAAAATATGGTTTAAGTCTATTGATGTGCAGCTTCTTGCACCTCTGGTCTCCTCCATCTTCTTGGACTACATAAGTCACCTCAGAGTCTTTGGAAACAACCGAAAATGGTCCTTCCCAAGCCACGTCCAACTTCTTCTTGGCTCTGGGCTTTAAGACCAACACTTTGTCTCCGATGGCAAAGTTTCTGTGCCTAGCTTTAGAGTCAGCATAGTCCTTCTGTCGGCTTTGAGCTGCTGACAAGCTCTCAGCGGTACAGTCCCGGATCAAAGTCAAATGTCTTTGAAGGTCTTTGATGTACTCGACCACGTCCTTCTCGGAAATCTCCTCACGTCCGATCCACGCCTCTCTCACGATGTCCAGAGGTCCACGCGGGGTTCGGCCATACAGCAGTTGGAACGGGCTGTATCTGGTACTCCCTTGTGGTACCTCACGATAGGCAAACAGGAAATGCTGGATTCTTCTGTCCCAATCGTTGGGGTTGCGATGTACGTAGGTTCTCAGCATGTGGTTCAACGTCGCATTGAACCTCTCCGTCAGGCCATTCGACTGTGGATGGTATGGAGTCGTTGTCACGTGTTGAATCCCACAGGAACGCAGCATCTCTTTCATGAGAAAAGACATGAAAGATGTTCCCAAATCAGTCACGATGGATTTAGGGAACCCCACACGCGCAAACAACGTCAGGAGTGCGTGTGTTACTGTCTTGGTGTCAATCTCCTTCAGGGGGATCGCCTCAGGGTATCTGGTCGCGAAGTCCACTGCTGTGAGGATGTAGCGATGTCCATCCTTGGTCACAGGCGACATCGGGCCAAGAATATCTATCCCCACTTTTTCAAAAGGAATRGACACAACAGGAATGGGTTGCAGCAGTCCCTTGGTTTTGTCTTTTGCTTTGCCCACAAACTGACAGGACTGACAAGATCTGCAGTAGGTGGCAATGTCTTGTGCCATTCTGGGCCAAAAGAACCGGCTCTGCACCCTATCCTTAGTCTTCTTGATCCCTAGATGACCACTAAACGAGGTGTCATGGGCCATTTTCAGGATCTTCTCCCTGTACTTTGGAGGTATTACTAGCTGTGTAACTACCTCGTACAGCCCTGGGCCCTTTTGATGTCTCACTATTCTGAATAACTTGTTATCTATATTTCTAAAGATAACTGGTTCTATTTCATTGGGTTCAGTTCTTTCAGTTTGAACTGATTCCCACAGGCCCTTTAAATCTTCAGCCTGTCGCTGTTCCCTCAGGAACTCAGCTGGCTGACTAGATGGCAACATTACAGGGAACTCTTCAGTGCTGTTACATTCTGAGCCTAGAGCCATTTCTGAGGTGATTTCTCCCTCCTCAGAAATTCCCGCTCTTTCTGCCTGGCTTCTAGTCACAGCATTGATCTTCAGTGTATGTTCTGACAGATCGTTCCCTATTAACACAGGGACCTCCATGTCTGACAGGATCCCTACTCTCCATCTACCACAAAAATCTTTGTATTTGACAGGGATTTCTGCCACATCTACTTCAAAGCTGGGACCAGTTATTCCTTTCAGTGTCCACTTCTTTCCTGGCACTATCTGGTCCTTCTCAACTACATGAGGGCGCACCAGAGACACGTCAGCGCCTGTGTCCCTCAGTCCCATTAGCGTTTGGTCATTAACTTGGACCTCTTCTAAGTATTCTTTGTTAACACCACGGTCTATACTCCAAACCCTCATTATTTTGATGGGCTCTCCCTCAGGAGTAGGTTCTACAGCTTGTGGTTCAGTCTTCTTGACCACTTTAACAAATTTTGGCGGGCTTCCAGCTCTCTCCTTAGATAGCTTTGGGCATGAGGCTCTAACATGTCCCTCCTGGTTACAAAGGAAACACACGATCCTACGTGGCACAGGCTTAGAGATGGCATCCCCTTGCTTGGCTCCCTGACCTTCCTTGTCAGTTCTACCCTTCGGGACCCACTCCTTCTGCTTCTTGAACATTGGGGGGACCATCTCAAAGTCTCCCTCCATCCCGTCCAACACTGAAGCGCACTCGGCCACTGTCTGGATCTTCTTATCCTTAATGAACCAACGTAACTGAGCTGGGACCAGTTTATAAAACTGTTCCATACAGATCAGATCTCTCAAAGCCTCAAAGGTGGTCACCTTACTACCCTCCAGCCATCGTACTAGAGCTTTTTCAATCCTAGCCCCTACTTGGGAAAATGTCTCCCCAGGCTTCCTCTTAATTTCACGGAAGGTCTTTCGGCTTTGCTCTGGGGTTAGCCCAAACCGAACCTTCACTCTTTCTTTAAAGACAGAGTAGTTAGACCATTCTGTAGTTGTCAAGCCAGCATAAACCTCACTCAGTTCGCCACAGATTAATGGTCTTAAGTGTGCCATTCTTTTTTCCTCAGGCACCCCAAAATCTGCACACGCACGTTCAAAACTGGAGAGGAAACTCTCTACACAATCCCCCTTTGTGTATTTGGGAAAGTGTTTTACATAGGAAGCTACGGGTTCAGCAGGGATGGCACTGGGATTGGATGTGGGTTGACTATCTCTCACTTGTAACTCCATCATCCTTTCCTCATGTCTCATTCTCTCTCTTTCTCTTTCAGCCTCAAACTGCATTCTTTCTTTTTCTTTCTCAAGCTCAAGCTGTCTTTCTTTCTCTCTTTCCTCAGCTTCACGTTGTCTTTCCCTAGCCTCAAACTCCATTCTTTCTCTATCTGCCTCCCGTTGTCTTTCTCTTTCTCTAGCTTCCAACTGTACTTTTTCTCTTTCCCTTTCAGCCTCTAGTTGCATCTTTCTCAACTCCATCTCAAGCCTTAACTTCTCAATTTCTAAAGAGGTAGCCACTGTCTCTGGGTCTCCCCTCTCTACAGTCTCAGCCTCCATTTCGGCTCCCTCCCATTCCTCTGTGTGAGTGTGAACCACAGGAGCTTTTTTCTGCTTTGGAGGTGCCATGTTGCTGTATACTGGTGTATTCTAGCAGTTTCTGAGGTAAAACTTCCTCAGAAACGCTTTGGCTCAAACTTTTACCTCACAAAATCACACCACCCCACTGGATTTAGGCTTTGCGTCACGTATCCCGCCGCTGGTCACCAATATAGTAAAATTAAAGGAATATCCGGGCAGGGTGGACACCACGATCACACCTCTGCCCTCAGTATAATACAAATTAGAGATTTGACCACAGGATAAATGTGGAAGTGACCGAATGTTCTTGGTATTATTAGCCGCCGCCACCTCAGAAATACTGGCCTGAGGAACCAAAAGGGTGTGAATGTATTTAGGTGAAGGGGGTTTGAGCTCTTGGTCTTCTATGTCTTCCTCCTTAGCTGACTGGACTTCAAAATGAGTTGAGAGAATGAGTTCTGAGGGAAACGAATGGATTGAGGCATACAACAATTAAAAGTTAACTAAGAAAGAGTTTATTTTAACTTTAGAATAACAACAACTCATTGGAAATGAGGGGTACAGAATCTTGATGCAGTTGCAGTAACTTGGTTGCTTGAACAGACAGTTCCCCTGACAGAATAGCTTTAACCACTGTGAGGCTTCTATAGCAAACTGTTCTATCTTTAGACACAGTTTCTCTTAGAGCGCAGACTCCCGTCTGCCTCAACTCACTGGGCTATAAGGTATCTTTAAACCTCTCTTAAGTTTAATAAGACACAGCTCTCTTTTACTAGTCCTTTCGACGTAGTAAAACCCTAGCCTAATGTCTTCACCTTATTCCCAAACCTATAGGCTCACTAAAAGCTCTTCTTCTCCTGTCAGTTCCCTGCTGTAACTTCCTCTCTAAAAATCCACAACCTTCTCTCTCTCTAGTCTAAGACCCTTCTCTCCTTTGTGTCAAAACTGGCAGCTTATTTTCCCTCTCTAAGCTGACTCCTCCCCCAATTGCTACACCCAATCAGGAGTCAGCCTGACTCCTCCTCCTGCTCTGCTTGACTACCAAGATGCCAGCCACTGCCATGCAGGCTTCGGCCTAGCCGACTAAAAGGTAGATCTATTACAGGTACCAACTCCCAGAGTTGGACACGACTGGACTTAATGTCAGGGGAAAACCTTTACCTTTTATCTATAGATAGACACACATGTTAATGTATATAATATACTTTTGCACTGTGCCAGAATTTGAACCTCATCTCAAAAGGCTTTGCATTTCTGAGTGTCTGTATGGGTCATTATTTAACAATAGCATTGGTAACATTTAGGTCTCTTGTCTTACTGCAGCTGTGCAAAGTTAGTAAAAAAAGTAATGCATTTTTCAAGTATGTATTATAGGCATTTAGGAATGACGTAACAAAAATGTATTTCTGCAGATAAAAGACACCATTGGCTATGACACACTGGGCCATTGTTTTTTCTTGGAGGATGGCATTGAACAGAGAAATACGCTGTTTCATAATCTGGGGCTCATCACCAAACCAGGCACACTGCTTCCAACAGACAGAAATAACACGATGTGCATAGCCATCAAGGACCATGTCTATGGGAACTATGAGCCAGTACCAGCCACTGATTGCATGTGAGTAGTACACTTTATGTCTCTGGATTCTCTGGAGTCAAAACATTATTTCTACTTCAGAGGTAAAATATTTAGTGTTCTGAACACTCTTTTAAAAAACGATTAATGTATAGAGCAGTGATGCTCAACCTGTGGGTCCCCAGATGTTTTGGCCTTCAACTCCCAGAAATCCTAACAGCTGGTAAACTGGCTGGGATTTCTGGAAATTTTTGGACAAAACACCTGGGGGCCCACAGGTTGAGAACCACTGCTATAGAGAAAAAATTTCATCCACCTATAAAGAAACTCTATGAAAATCATGGGGTGACCACAACCTGACAGGCAACATGAAGGCATATGCAGACACATATCAAAATGACTATCCTTTTTGTCAGTGATGTTTCAATTTCTGTGTAATTTCTTTTTCATTTCCTTTATCATCATAAAAAGTCAGTATCCTTATGAACACCAGATGTTTGTTGACAGAATATGAATTGTGTGTTCATGCAGTTTTAGACATTGCAGATGAATGCATAGAAAACTTCCCTCACCTTCTAAGAACACCTTATAACATGAATAAAAATATTTGCTTCCTCCCTCCCAAACTGAAGAATTTTGAAATATTTTCACATGTGATATATTAGTGCATTTCACTTATTTGTTGCAGGGCTGTTTCAACATTTTGGATTGCTCATCCCAACAACCACCTTATAAATAATGTAGCTGCAGGATCACAGGTGAGGCTCCTGGTGCACTGCCTTAGCAATGTTCTTTTCTTTTCTCTTTTTTAAAAGACAACAATGTATAGTCAACCCTTCACATTTGCTAGTTTGACTTTGCAGGTTTAAGTAAAATTATCTCTAGGGATTTCTAGGTCCTCCAGCATGATTATGTGGTCAACTTCCAGCAGAAATTAACCATACAGTCATAACAGAGAACATAAAGAAGTGTTCTCTTAGATAAAAAAACTTTTTTTTTTAAAAAAAGTGACTTTTCATTTGTGCATCTGTCCTTAAACCCAACAAATGTGGAGAGCTGAATGTACTTTAAAGATGATTGAGGGGAGGGTTGTTTTTTCTTAGAGATTTTTTTTGGTTCAGAAATTTAAATCGGCATGTGATGCAAAAAATTAACCTTATAGACAAGCACAAAATAATGTGTACATGAAAGGATCTGAATTCTCTGTTCAGAAAATTTTACATTAGAAATATTGTCCCTTACAAAACAGGTATTTATAAATGTTTTAATCTGAATATTATAGAATGGTAGTATTTGGTCTTATGGGTGGTATGTATTGACAGCTTTCTGGGCCCCCGACTTTTGGTCTTAGAATGGAACAGGAAATTAGTTTCAGAGCTTTGGTTCTCAGAAAGAGAACCAAAGGATATATATTAAAAAGCTTACAAATTCCAGAAAATGGTGATCTGCTTGATTACATCTACACACAATTTTGAGTAGTCAACCAAAGAAAGTCACAAAAGCAGTAGGCCTTTTGGACCAAATATATCATGCATTGGTTTTGGAGGGGATACCTACCAGGGACTTGGGATGTGTGATGGGAGGTCTTGTCCAGCTATTGGCAAATGTGTTGACCACACTGGTGGCTGAGAGGCCAGGTTTGGGAATCTTCCTGGCTGGTCCTTTTTGGGTCATTCCTGTGGGATCTGACAGTGGGCATGACCAGGGGCCTCACTGATCAACTGGCAGGTTGGTCAGTGCATGGTTCCAGACCCATGCATGTACCAATCCTGTCTGCAGCTGTAACCAAATACAGCTGTAACAACAAATAAAGTTGTGATCATCTTCTATCCAATTTTCTGTGTTTGTCTAATCTGTGCAATTGGATTGGTTCTCAACCTTAAACATACAATTAGCTCTTTGTGATTATGATGAGATCACTGAATTAGCTCCCAAAATCATCCATCCCTAAGGTTCTTTGTCTTTTCTTATTTCAAGGATACTGGAATATGGTATATTTTTCACAAGGTGCCTACAGGAGAGTCTCATGGATTATTTCCTGAAACCAAAGCTGAACTTACACCGCTAGGAATTTTTTATAACAACAAAGTTCACTCAAATTTTAAGGTAAAACAGTCAAGGCCATGAGCTGTGAATTATGTATGCTTACAGTTTAATTAAAATGTATGACGCTTACATTAGGCAATCACCAATGGTAAGTCACAGTTTAACCCATACAACATTCCTATTCCTGTTTAGGCATAAGAAAATCCTGCTGCTTCAATGGAACTTACTCTCTACTAAATACGTATAGGTTTGCAGTCACATTCTGCTGTTCAAGCAGCTGTGCTACTGAAACTATTTCAGTAGTAATTTTGTAGCTATATGTATATTGATAAAAATCTGTGTAGCTGAATATAACACATACTTGGAAAAAGGTTTTTGGGATTATAACTTCCAGAATCTCCCAAACAGAATAGTCATTACTAGCTGGGGAATTTTGAGCATTTTGGTCTAAATAAAAAATAAAACTTCCCCAAGCTCTGATTTGAACATAGGTTTTGATTACTATTATCTGAAGCTTTTATTTAAACAGAATTGAAAGCAGAATGGAAGAAAGACATTTGTTAAACCTTGTGGCTTCTATTAATACAGATTTGTAATACAATCTGATGCCATTGTGAACTGTTAGATGAGAACCTCAAGACTGACTGGTCAGGTAGTCAAAGATGCAAAAGAGCCTCACAAAACCAAGAGAACAAAAATGTTTTTTCCCCTTCCTCCTTAATTGTTGCTACTGTTATTATTTTAAAACTCATTTAAAATTAATTCATTTTTATTGTAACTTGGCATTGGAATAATTCTTTGTAGTTATTGTCATCTTTCCAGTTCATTTTTGATGTTCTTCCAGAACTTTTTGGTGTCCTTCCAACTGCAGTCTTTCTAAATAATGGTTGCATGCATAAGTAGGTCTTGAATATAGGAAAAAATAGATGCTGACCTTCTCTAAATGTGTCCATTGTCCCTTGCTTGGAATGTTAAATAAAATGTTATACCCCCAAGAGCCAGCCTGGTGTTGCAGTCTGAACATTCGGCTCCAACTCTGGATGGCAGAGTTTAAATCCCCATTTGGTCATGAAAATGATCTAGATGACCAACTCTTACCAAATCTTGCCAAGAAAACCCTGTAGAAGATTCATCTCAAGGATGGCATAAGTATGATGTTGGAGACATCCAACAACAACAACAACAACAGCAACAACAAATATTTGTCCTATCCTTCAACCAAAAAACCTGCTACAATGTTGTTGTTGCTGCTGTTTTTGTTGTTGTCGTCTTTGTCCTATGACAGCCATATGGCATATCTGTCACAGGGTTTTGTTGTCAATATTTGTTTAGAGGAGGTTTGCTTCTGCCTTCTGCAAACGTTGAGAGTGTGTGACTTTCCCAAGGAGATGGCAGATAAACAGATGATGGTTCGATGGCATTACAAGGTGTATGCACACACTCCTGATTATAGGGAGGGCTAATTTGTCCTCTTTCATTATTACAGGCTGGTTTGTTCATTGACAAAGGTGTTAAAACAACCAATGCAAGTGCTGCAGATAAAAGGGAGTATCTGTCATTGGACAATAATGCAAGGTAAACAACACATTCTGCATGGTTGTTGTGGGTAGACATTGTCAATATGCTCCTCATAGTGTCCAGAATTTCAATACAGGCATCTCCTGTTTTTCATTTACTTGTTTTCCAACATGCTGCTGTTTGAACAAATCTAAATTATAGCCATATACCCTACTGTGGACCCCTGGTTGACTCTTTTCGGCAGACTGATTTTTCCCTCTCACAGTCTACTAAACATGCTGTGTTTTTTTCTTTAGGTCTACTCAGCACACTTTTCTCTCTCTCAGTAGGCTCAGTGCCATCTTGTGTCCTAGCTTGCATTTGCAAGCTAAAAAATCACTAGGTTCCACTTTTCAATCATTTCCACTTCTAACAGCACCATGGTCCCTAATCCATGAAATAATCAGGGGATGCTTGTCTTGTTTGTTGGCTGCCTTCAAACAATACAGATATCAACAGGTTTCATGACCCTGCTGTACCCATCTCAAAATTGCTGTTAAAGTGCATTTGTAGGTCTGGCATCTCCTGTTTCATTCCAGTTTGGACTGATCTGCCTGTTGAATTGTAATTGCTGTTGATTGAAATGTGTATAAAAGTGGTCAGTGTTCCAACTGCTTCCATTGTCAAGGACTTAAATTCTGCATTAGGTCGCATTGTGTTATGTCTCTGCACATTCATTTGCCATGGTATAGTTATGTAAAGCCAATACAATGACTGCTGAACACTCTGCAGAGGAGTTAGCTGGCAATCAATTACTTTGAGCTCTCTTATTTCTTGTATGAAAAAGGTAGAAGGCTAAAAGGGAGGAAGTGAATGTGGAAGACTCTCAGGAACTGAAACACCCCTCTGTGTATGTTTTTTGCTTTTTCCTTTGGAAATGACTGCAGGATCTCTTTGTGATAAGGAAATTAGTCATACCTTAAGTCAGGATAGGGAACGTTGCTGTTGGATTCCAGCTCCTAGTAGCCCTAGCTTGCATGATTAGTGTCCAGGAAACATGAGAATCAAGAAACACCTGGAAGGCTACATGTTCCCCATCTATGGCAAAGCCTGAGTCCAGTGTGAACACACACACACCACAACCTTATGATTCATACTTTTCTGGAGCTGATTTATTTTTATATGTGTGCTTGCTCAGCAGTAGCTTTAATACCTTAAATGCATATAAAGGTTTGCACATGTGCAGTCATTTCTCTCTTTCTTTTTTTCCATTACAAGGTTTCGACCTCACCAGGATGCAAATCCAGAGAAACCCCGGGTTGCTGCTGTCATAGACAGGCTAATTGCTTATAAAAACAATGACCACGGTGCCTGGGTCAGAGGAGGAGATATCATCATCCAGAACTCAGGGTGAGTGCCCAAATACAAATACCATCTTTGTGTTGTTGTTTTTTCAACGGACCTGCAAAAGCTGACCGTACTGGGGAAAACTTTGTAATTCTACCCTGGGGTAATGTACAGATAACAAGTATTGAAGCTTAGTGTGAGTCATTGGTTTGTGCAAAGAAATTGAATGACATCGATGGGAGTTTCACATCCCATACAATCTGCCCTAATTTAGAGCTTCATTGTAACTGCTTTTAGACCTCTTAAACAAACTCCCGTAAAGGATTTTTTATTGTTTTCTTTTGTTCTTGAACTTTCCCCTCTCATTCTGCAAGCAATATTATCTAATGCATATTTCCACATGAGTGATGCTTGCTGTGCTAACTCATAAGTAAATCTGTATAGAGTTGGAACCTGAGAGATTGGCTTGCAATCCTGAACACACATACCTGGGAATACCTCCTGCTGACCTCAGTGATACTTACTTCTGAGAAGGCAAGCTCAGCTACATTCCTGTGCATAAAGCAAAATGAAACAAAATAAAGCAACAAAATGAATAATAAATATGAGTTGGTCTTAAGTGCCAGTTAATTCAAAGGGACATCTTTCTCAGTAAACATACATCAGTTCAGGATATTAAGGACTGCTTTACCTTGAAAAGAAGCATTCATGTTGCTTTCAACAAAGAAGATGTTGTATGAATTGTAACTGCAGTTTAAGGCATAGAAAAATGTCCATGACTCATTCATGCGTCAGCCCACATCCTTAGTCCCTGACCCCTGTCGAGTAAGCAAAAAAGATTCTCAGAATGAAGAGAAGATCTATTCTTCAACATGTGATGGCAGTCAAAGTCTGTGTGTGTGTGTGTGTGTGACATGGAGGCTCATTCCTTAATTTCAACCATCACCAAGTGCTGGCAAACATCTGACTAAGGTTTCCAGCCGTCCCTAAAGATTTGCTCTACTCTGATGTCACCACAATGTCATGGCTTGCAATATATTAGCTGTGCTATAACTGGTATATCCCATCCAAATAAAATATTTGCTCTGTGGCTCATTTGAGAACATGGTGTAATAAACACGCAGTATAATTTAAAAGTGGTTGGGAAGAATAACCAAGGCCCTGATTTCTTTCCTGTCCAGATCAGGGCCCTGCAACTATGTTTTTTCTTTGAAATACAAGTGAGTAGTTTGAAGGATAGGTGTGTGTTTTCCCTTGATGTTTAGGTAATCAAAACCTCTTTCTGAAATGTGTTTTTCCCTCTGTTCTAGGTTTGCTGACAATGGAATAGGTTTAACTTTTGCCAGGTTAGTCTTGCTTGATCTTAATTGTTTGACGTGAGTCATGCTTATGTCAGAGCATTGATAACACATCTATTTACATATGATGATAATATTTATATCTCTACTTTCACCAAGGGAGATTGAGGCAGAGTACATGGTCTCATTTTTATCCTCACCACAAGTTCTGAAGTAGGTTCTGAGAGGCAATAACTGGCCCAATGTCAACCTTTGTGATTGTGTGGGTATTTATATCCAGGTTGCCCCAGTTGTAGTATTACTCAGAGTGTTTTGACAGCTTTGGAAGTGGCAAAGTATAATACAAGCTGTAGAAGTCTTTTTGTGCATGGAAGCTGTATAAAGTGCAGCTGCACAACTAGAGCCTTCACAAGCACAGCTCAGGAACAATATCTCCCTTTGTGAACCAGTTCAAGTGTTAAGATCAGCCGGGGAGGTCCTGCTCTCAGTCACACCACCGTCGCAAGCGTGATTGGTGGGGATGAGAGACAGGGCTTTCTTGGTGGTGGCCCCTCAGCTGTGGAACTCACTCCTCAGCAAGATTACATCAACCCCCTCCCTCCTGGTGGAAAGCAACTCAAAATTTGGCTATGCAAGGAGGTGTTTGGCGAGTGATAGTACTACTGAAGCAGCTACATGAAAAACACAGGATTGGTGCAATGCCTAAAATGTCTAACATGTTTTATGCTCATGTTTGATGTGTCTTTTGTTTAGTTTTTAATTCTTAGTTGTGTGTTATAATTTTAGATATATTATGTAATGCATATGTGTGTGTGTGTGTTTGTGTGTGTGTGTGTCTGGCATTGAATTTTTGCCATTTATTATGTTGTATAGCACTTTGAGTCCTCCCGGGGTGAGAAAAGCGGTACAGAAATGCAATAAATAAATAATAAATTGATACATCTGCAAAAAAAAAAAAAAAAAAGCTCTGGTAAAAAAATGACAAAAATCTTCACCCCATCTGGAATGACTTCACAATCACAACTGCAGTTACTGTTTCACCATTACTACTGTAAGTGATCCCTGGGTTTATTTTCAATAGTGATGGAAGCTTCCCAAGTGATGAAGGATCCAGCCAGCAAGTCTCAGACTCTCTCTTTGTCGGAGAAAGCAAGAATTATGGCTATCCAGGAGGCCAAAACAAATATTGGGGCACCGGAGGAGTAAACAACAAAACACGCACTCTGCCTAGAAATCGGTAGGTATATAGTGTCTGAATAGGCTTTTCAAGTCTAAATTCTTTTGAGTCCTTTATATCAGCTTTGATGTATAACACTGGTGACGACTCTATTACAAAAGAAACAGCTCCCTAGTTAGCCACACTTCCATTGGGATTACTGCAATGTGTTTTACATCAGAGTGTATTTGAAAATGATCTGGAGTCTTCAGTTAGTCCAGACCAAGGTTGTTATGGCTGATCTAGCCCTATTATTTTGCAAAGAGATCTTTTATCACCTTAGAGAATAACTGAGAGAACAAAGTTGGTAGCATACGCTTTTATAGACTAAGCCTATTTTTTCAGGTCCACAAAACCTTATGCTTTCAACTTAGTTCTCTGTTAGTTTGTAAGATGTTACAAGATCTCTTTGCAAACTGATGTTCTGAAGTGACACAGCCATGTCCTTTGAATGATCTTATTATGCCAGTACTTTCCAGTCCATTTCCATGCTGAGTTCTAAATGCTGCAATTTACCTTTAAGTTCTAAATAACTTGAGCCCATGTAGCTTGAAGGATTGCCTCATGGGTATTTCCTTCACCATGCTTTAAGGTAATCTTCTGAATCATGAAGTACAATAAGCGAACATTATAAACAGGGGCTTTATAGTAGACACACTCTTTTTATCAGGTGCTACCCAGAAGGTTTGTCTGCTGCTTACATTGCAGACAGTGACCACAGAACCTCAGGGGGTGTAGTTTGTCATTTAAAGACTGATTCAAAATGGCTGAGATAGCCTTGAAACCATTATTGATTTTCCTGTTTCCAAAATCAGTTTATTTCTAGCCTGAAACAGATGTATGTGTGTGTGCAATATTTAATTCACAAAATAAGTACATTTGAGGCTTTCAGCCATCATGGTTGAAAGCAAAAAAATAAAATAAAATCAGCATGGTAGGGGGAATCAGATTATGGTCCTTCAGAACCCAGAAAAGGGTGAAAATGCCTCCCAGACACTCAGAAGAAACAGTTTCCCTCCCACTTTCGTATCAAGTGAATTTCTTTGGACTTAAAAAAATCCCAGTGTTTTTAGACTTGTACTGATTTATTTTTATTTTACACTGGTGTGTACCATGCTATTGATTTCTCTTCTCTCTTTATGCTTCTGTTGATCTTACACCTCATTTCTGTAGTAGTCCACATTATAGTTGTACCTTTTACTTTCAAATGCCACTAGTGCCTGGCTGTTGTGCGTTGTATAAATATTGTACGTAAATAAATATTAGCAGTACTAAAAGCCCTGTGTTGATCTGAATGTGACTAATGTCGGACAGGAAAATATAGGCCAAAACCTACCTACTAATTGATACCTTTTACCTTCATTATTTTTCTCTGCTTTCCAATTTAACCAGCTGAAGGGATTCAGCTGTGAGCTCTTGCCCTTAAGGCAATTGAAGTGGAAAGAATAAAGGCAGAATTCATTAACAAGTCAGAGGGAATTTTTACTCTTACATAAAGATTTTGTGAAGTAGTTTCATTAAAATATCATGCTGTCAGTTTTGAAGTTTGCATAAAGCAGGAATAGAATTTGAATACAGTCTGGTCATAGTAAATTATTATATGTGTTTTTTAATCTCTCATTAAAAATATAGTACCTGAATAGTATCCTCATAGTATAATATTTATTATAATATAAAAACTATCATACTGCTTTCAAGACATCACTTTTTAACAGTTTGATCATATGCCTTTACTCAAAAATACTTACTGATTATTGAGTACTGTTTTATTGAGTTTAAAGTTGTTGTTTAAATGTTTTTATCCTATTGTATTTTAGTGTGTGTTTTATTTTATGTTCTGTTTTTAGGCACCTAGTGCCGTGTGTAAGCTGCCCTGAGTCCCTTTGGGGAGATGGTGGTGGGATACAAGAATAAAGTTGTTGTTGTTGTTGTTGTTGTTGTTGTTGTTGTTACTTTATTCAGTACGACTTTCTCTTTAGTAATTTTGTATTTATTTTATCAGAGCATTTTTTCTTTCATTTATTAAAAGAAAGGTGGTAATAGCTTATATTAAAAATCATAACAATTTACGGAGTACTAAAAAATAGCAAAGAAGTAAAACTATACCATTATTAAAAATAGTCAGTTTAAAATAAAAAAGTATTGATAATGCCAACAACTAAGAAAATAATTTAAAATAGTGACTAGGTAAAACAGGTCTTTCACTCATGCTTAGAATATCCAGTACTGGAAACTCATCTAATGCTTGTTGCACAGCTGTTCCGTATGTCACAGAAGAGATCATAACATTTCGTTTTTGTCTGCTTAGTCTGTAAATATCTCTTAGCAAAAATATTTCAGATGCTAAAACAGTATTCTTAAATATAGATATATGCTTTTCATAGAACTTATCCTTGCAAATATTTTCACAGGACTTTTCCAATTCGAGGTTTTCAGATTTATGATGGACCTATTTGTCTCACCAAATGCACTTTCAGCAATTTTGTGCCTACTCCAGACAGATTCACTAGTGCAATTGCGTTCCTGATGAAAAACACCTGGCAAATTACACCTCAAAACAATATATCTCTAATAAAATTTGGTGAAAATGTAAGTTTTTTGGCTTGAATTTCTGCCCAGATGGGAAAAGGATATGATGTGAAGATACTGATCATCTTCTTTCCTTTCAAGGTTTCTCTGAAAGTGTTTTTTGGCAAGCCTGGCCCTTGGTTTGAGGAGGCTGATCTGGATGGTGACAAGAACTCAATATTTCATGATGTGGATGGATCTGTGACTGGATACAAGGACACCTACGTTGGTAGAATGGATAACTACCTGATTCGACATCCAGACTGTGTTAATGTTACCATGTGGACTGGTGTGGTCTGCAGTGGGACTTATGCACAGGTTAAAAGAGATGCCTTTGTTTGTTTGATTTTTCTGCAATATGCATAAAGGTTGAATAGCAGGTGTTTTTTCACTTTTCTTTTGCTATTTGTAAAATAGAACTTTACAGTAGACTTCCAAAAATGGGTTAACTGTTTCTGATCAGTGCACCATTTGGCGCCATCTAAAGCTATTATGCAAACCTTTTGGTGGTAACCCTTGCCTCTCCAGTACTATAGTACCTTTCCTGTCTAAGCCCCCAGTTCCTTTTTTGTATGCCATGTCAACAGCATGAAAGGAACATCTCTTGTGCACTGTTTCTTTCACCCTGATTTTTTTTTCTGGCAATGTTTTTTTTCCGCTGATATTAGCTCCATATTTCAGTTTTGATCCATTGGCCTTAAGTCTCCGAAATGCACACATGAAAATGACTCCCTAGGTTATTTTAAAAAATAATTGTCACAAAAAGCATGGCAGATTCAGATTTCTAAAATGGAATGCAGAGGAAACTGCACCACTGCTGAAAAATAGTGAGTCCTAAGGGTTTGACAGGAAGAGAACAAATGTATGATTAGGTGCGTAAAGGTGGAATGAACCCCCATTTTATATTGAATAGTCTAGTGAAACATAGCTTTCTTTATAATGTTTCCACTTCTTAGAGACAGGAAACTCTGAATTCCTTTTCCTATGTTCATTTTCGTTAATTAGAAAGAGAGAAAATGGGTTTGTGATTATGTTTTTCCTTTCCTCCATTTTTTCTTACCAGCTTTATCTATCATAAATGAGTGAATGAATTATTGTGGAACTACTGTAATGGTGTATGAAGCGTACAATGCAGTTTTAAACCTAAGGAAGATGCTCTACTTCTCCTGGTTTGGTGATTGGGAAACAAACCCATGAAACACAGTGACTCTCTTTTCCATCCGCATTGTTGGCTTCCTTCTCTACTTTCCGTTTTCGCATTAAATGTGGTTTGCCATGGTAGTGGAGGTGATATTGGCAGTAGCTGCTTTTGTGCTTCAAACCAGAAATAAATTGTGGTTTCTAGTTTTGGTTCCGAGTTCAGAAATCATAGAAAATTATGACTAGTTCTTAACAAGTAACGGGAATGAAGCCATCTATAAAGTTTCCCCCAAATTCCACCAGTGTTCACATTTGGGCATATTGAGTGTCTGTGCCAAGTTTGGTCCAGATCCATCATTGTTTGAGTCCACAGTGCTCTCTGGATGTAGCTTAATTACAACTCCAAAACTCAAGGTCAATGCCCACCAAACCCTTCCAGTATTTTCTGCTGGTCATGGGAGCTCTGTGTGCCAAGTTTGGTTCAATTCCATCATTGGTGGAATTGGCTCTTTAATTGCAGGTTAACTATAAATGGCAGCACCTGCAACTCCTAGATGACAAAATCAATCTCCCTCGCCAACCCCACCAGTATTTAAATTTGGGCGTATTGGGTATTTATGCCAAATTTGGTCCAGTGAATGAAAATCATCCTGCATATCAGATATTTACATTAAAATTCATAACAGTAGCAAAATGACAGTTATGAAGCAGCAATGAAAATAATGTTATGGTTGGGGGTCACCACACATAAGGAACTGTATTAAGGGGTCACTGCATGAGGAAGGTTGAGAACCACTGGTCTAGGTCATGCTGGCTGAGAGATTGTGATAGCCATCATTTTAAAAGGTAACTTTTTCAAGCTCTGATTCTAGTCAACCCACTGTTGTTTTATCAAAAGCTTATTTTCATTATATCATGTCTGGTAATTCATTATTATTTATCCTAATTTTATTTAATGAGACCTAAGGTGTTTTGGATTTGTTTCAGACTATTCAAACACATGAGAGCAGGCAGTTTCTCTCTTATGTTGGCATTTCTACTCAAGAAAATCGTAATCTATACTTTGGATTTTCATGTTTTTCTCTATGTGTTTTAGGTATATATCCAGACACGAAATCCACAGAATCTCACCATGACTATGGTGCGGGATGAATATCCTTCAAGCCCTATGGTCTTACGGGGCATTAATAATCAGAAAGCTGACTTCCAGCAGTACCAGCCAGTTGTGATGCTTCAGAAGGGCTATACAATACACTGGAATGGACAGGCCCCACAGACAACATTCCTTTACCTCATTAACTTCAACAAGTATGTTCCTATTCAACATCCAGTTGTCTTTCAAAGCAAATCTGTGGTTGTGTGATAGAATTAGTGTGTTTTTATTCAAACAATGAGTGCTCCATAGTATTCTGGTTTGGTGTTCATAAGCACTAGGTTTGTACATACAGTCTGTTTACTCTTCCTGGGCCCCTCCCACCAGGACTTTAAAGTTTAGGGTGTCATCTTATCTATGGCTCATGGTTTGCTGCACCTTTTCCAAGCCAAAGGAAGTCTTGTATGTTCTCCTGAAAGTGTCCCCAGTTGTGCAGTGGGTTAAAGCACTGAGCTGCTGAACTTGGTGACAGAAAGGTTGTCGGTTGGAATCCAGGAAGCGGCGTGAGCTCCCGCTGTTAGCCCCAGCTTCTGCCAATCTAGCAGTTCGAAAACATGCAAATGTGAATAGATCAATAGGTACCGCTCCAGCGGGAAGGTAATGGCACTCCATGCAGTCATGCCGGCCACATGACCTTAGAGGCATCTACGAACAACACTGGCTCTTGGGCTTAGAAATGAAGATGAGCACCAACCCCCGGAGTCTGACACAACTCGACTTAATGTCAGGGGAAATCCTTTACCTTTTACTATGTTCCCCTGAGTTCCTTGCCTATTGGGGGGGGGGGGGGGGGGGGGGGGATATAAATAATATAAAAATAACATTGGTTTGAGGAACATCTTAAGCATTCAGTTGTCACCTTAGTCCTTTTATTAGGAAAAGGTGCTAAGTTGGAATAGACAGATCATTGGCATGAAAATGTAGCTCATGAATGGTGAGCTATGTTTTTCTGGAATTTTTTTCTGATTTGCCATTGTATGTGAATGTGTCTGCTGATTGTACTACCCATAACAATTAAAAGACTGATGCTGTGATTTTAAAGAAAAGCTAGGTTGTTTCAAGGGAGGAACAAGCCCACTTGGAAGATATTGTGCATAAGCCATACTAAAGGCTCTTGTGCCCTTCCCACCTCATTTATGTCAGTGTGGTTTGTGGAAAAAGAATAAGAACGATGTCCTTGGGTTGCTGTGAGTTTTTTGGCTCACAACCTCTGAGGATGCCTGCCATAGATAAGGGCGAAACATCAGGAGAGAATGCTACTGGAAGATGGCCATACAGCCCAAAAAACTCACAGCAACCCAGTGATTCCAACTATGAAAGCCTCCAACAATACAGCTACCAGAGTGCAGAACAGGAATTGTTGCTATGTATGTTTTGGTATTGCAGTAAAATCTTTTGTTTGGATTATATCTCAGATAATAGTTGGTGAACCTTATTCATTCACTTACAGTTTGTTCCTCATGTAAACAGGCAAATTTTAGTCACTTTTGCAAGACTGTGCTGAGAGTGGCTGTGATCCAGTATTAGACAGGTTTTAGTATTGTGTAGGACTGTGATAAAGAACAGTAGTAATGGGAGTACCCATAAATGAAAATGCCTATATAGTACAAGTGAATTGTAATTGTTTTGTCTTGCTCATCTTTCAGGAATGACTGGATTCAAGTTGGTCTCTGTTACCCACCAGACACCTCATTTCAAGTAACCTTTGATGTATTCCAAAGGCAGGCATCTGCTTATCATAATGTGGAAGACTATGTTCCTGTATCTTCAATGGCAGAACTACAGAAGAGCCGAACAGAAAAAATATTTTATTTTGATAACAGCACTGGGTAGATAATTTACTATAAAATAACAATATACTATAGAATTATAGCTCAGTTTCATACTGTCTGTAAAAACAGATTGCCTTGGTTCTTTGGGAGTAAAGAGTTATATCATTAATGTGATTCTAAGAGCAATTTACATGATTCATCATTATGAATGCAGTAGTTTATCAAGTTGTCATTTTCCCAAAGGTTACTGTTCTGATGGAGGCTGTTCAGAGTACTTGGAAAAATTGAAGTGTCTGTTCACCAATTAATTGTGTCATCCATCTTAAGGCATTTTGCATGGGGCTCAGCTCTCTCAGAACATGGCATTCACCACTCTCTATAAGACTGGACTACATGCTGTTTTTGTTGGGACCAGTGATCCAGTGTGGACTTTGTGATGCATGCAGATTCTGCACCAGTGTCATGAACTCCCCCCGTTTCTCCCACCAAGAATTTAACCCCCCCCCCCCCAAAAAAAACCAAGCAGCATCTCTGCAGTGTCTGAAAATGTTGTTTTGAGGGTTTTCCACCCAAAACAGTACACTGAAACTCAAGCAGCACCAAGAGTGATACAGCATTACATCTGGTCGCCCATAATGGAAGTTGCCATGTGGCCTCCCAGAGTATGCCCACTCCTTTAAAAATCAAATCCTGCCTACTTACTGCATCAATCTGTAAAATAACCATTGCAAATGACGTGGTTTGTACAGGGGAATAATTGTAGATTGCACTTTCCCCCCTTCTTTTTCAAGAATCCTTTCTGCGCATGTTGTTATGCATGTCAGAAGTTCATTTGCAGATGTCCCCCCATGAAAGAAATCCAACTTTTCAAAATGTCCTCTGGTGGGTTCATGCATACTTTGATGGTGAACATGGTTATTTTCTTTTCTTATTAGATAGAGGTATTTGAAGCATAATCTAGATTATGAATGGGGAATTAACTGAAACCCAGGAGCTGCTCACACTTCTTACCAGAATTCATTTAATTGTCTTCCACCTCTATTTTTCCCTTTGTTTTTATTCATAATTTTGCCTTATTTTTTCCTCCCTGAGACAAACTGTTTCAGGCCCAGGTGGGAAATCTTTTAGCATCTGTAATATTTGACAGTGAGAGCCAGTGTGGTGTAGTGGTTTAAGCATTGATTTAGGACTTTGGAGACCAGAGTTTGAAATCCCTACTTGGTCATGGAAACCTACTGGGTGACTCTTGGAAAATTATACTCTCTTAGCTTCAGAGGAAGGAAAAGGCAAACCCTCTCTGGAGCAATCTTGCCACCAGAGGTTGGAAATGACTTGACAAATATTTGACAAATCTGCTTTCCATATTGGAACTACATTGCTCCACTATCAAACTGTCACTTGTGTGGGTAATGGGGGAAGATAATGAGACCCCTTAGGATGGACACAATTCATTGTTAACACAGCCCTACTGGAGAATTGCTTCAGGAAGGTAACACGTTTCTTAAAAAATGTTAGAGGGGAGATTGTGCAAAATAAACAACAGTGGAACTAACTATAGTTAGTTTTGCAATAATGTGTGTTTTGTCTTGTATTTGTATTTTCCCCACCCCATTTCTGCATTTGTGCACAGGTTGCTGTTTTTGTTCCTTCAAGCCAAATATCACAGGGATGGCCACAGTTACTGTTCATCTCAGGGATGTGAAAGAGTCAAGATTCAGGCCAGTTTTCAGTCATGGCCTGTTAGTAACTGCTTGACGAAAGCTTATCCAAAGTATTTTCAGAAGCCAACAGTTGTAAAAAGGATGCCCACAAAAATGACTAGTTCTTGTCAAAAATGTGGCTCTTCTCAGGTGAGAAAATGCATAGTAACTAGTATATGTGGATAGGTCTTGTCTTTACCTTCAGACGAGCCCTGCCTTTTCCTATGACACCAGTTTCCTCAGTTGGAGAACAAAACTATGTATGCCACTGAACTTGCCCTAATCATTCTAAACTAGCTGCTAATATAGATGCTGTGTAGGGTACCATCCTATCCAAACTGAAAACATCCCAACTAGGTGGTTATAGTAAATGGAATTTGAAGGGGCGCCACCTTGTCAACTGCCTTAGGCAGCCAAATATCAGAGAAATTTACTCATTTCTAGGCTGAATGAGCAAACTTTTCTCTTTTATATTACTAAAGCATTATCCTTGTGCTGCACTCCAGGAAGCATAGAAATGAATAAAAAGAGTAATAATTAAGTATGATTACATTATTCTTATTTAATATAATCTCTGGTATTTTTCTGTTTGTAGCTCTAAAGGTTTTTGCCAATTTTCCTCATGTTTTTGAAGCTTACGTTTCATCCTTTCATAGGAGGGGCAGGGGTTATTTGGCTTAAATCCAGTTATTAGTCTCAGCTAGGCTAGACCTATTAGATCACTAACTTGATAAGTAAACTCTTACACAAGTTCCATTTAATTGCACTAACAATACAATGCAGACCTTAATAACCTTTCTGTGCATTAAAAGCAATATAAGATATACCATTTAGCCTGTTATATTGTGGAGGTGGATAGACTTGTCTTTTGCCTTTTCCAGTTTTTAGTATAATTTCTTCAGAGTGATAGCTTCCGCAATCTTATATATTAATTGTAAGGAGAGCTGTGGAATTACCTCTGCTTTCATAACATGATCTGTATCCTTTCTATTCAGATGGTTTTTAGCAACGATCCTGATAAAACCTACCTCCTTGTGAAAATACAGTCCCCAGATAAGATAGAATTACAAAGTAACCAAGAATCTTTTATCTCGGTAAGTGTCTTTTTGCTTTGCCTGTATCACAAAGGTTTCTTTTTTACTATATGCAAGAATACCACTTTTAACAATGTTGTAGAACTATCCCTTCATCATTTGTTTAGGTGTTCAAAAAGAAAAGACATTCTTTATGAGCAAACATTTAAACATTTCTGTTAAAAGGAGGAAGAATTTCTTTACTAATTTCTGCTAGTTGCTGCATATTTGTATGTCGCCCTTGCCCAGAATTCTAGGCTCAGTCCAGCATTCTACTGGAGCAATGGTTCCCCACCAGTGGTTTCCAAGAAGTAAAATATGGTTCACAACCCTGTTCCTGGGGTTATTTGGGGTGCTGATTCAGAAAATTGCATTGGATAGACGACATCAGGTCTAGATAATTAAAATGGTTTTCTGTGGACAAGCAGATGGCGACTACTGGATGGCATATGTTCTGTATTAGAAACTAGAGCTGATGTGGTCTACCCAATGCAATTTTCTGAATCAGCACCTCACATCACCAAACTGAATCGATAGTTGACCAAAACATGATTCATAACACTTTTGGTACTGATACTGGATAGTCGTCCCTGGTCCAAATATGGTTGGGATGAACGTTCAGGATGTTCTTCTTCTCTGCTGCCATTATAAACCCTTCACACTACCCAGAAACCGGCTCTGAAGGAGCTGACTTCTATGCATGTCAATATTGTGGTCACCCCCTCCTGATTCTGCCATTCCTGTATGGCTTTGCCCACCTTTATCTAGTTTTGAGAGAGAGAGAGACTTCCCCCCATATCTGCGGGGGGATACTTCACATGGATGCATGAAACCATGGCTAATAATCAATCCTATTGTTTTCAAAAGGATGAACTAAGGAGGTTCTGAGAAGAGGATATAGCTTGTGCAGGAGGACCTACATGAATAAGTGAAATTGTGGATATATCAGTTCTGTGGATATAAGAGTCATACTGTACCCCTTAAGGCTATGATTAGAGAAGTAGCAGCAGTTTGATTTTGATGTTTCCTTTAGCTATGATGTGTTGAATCTGTTGAAGTATTATTAACTCTTGACATGTTGCAACTTTCTGCTTTGGGACAAGTTGGGAACTTACTTGGAAGTGAAAGAATGCAGGCATCCAATAGAGCTTGAGGCTAGGAGTTGTATGTATGTCCTATAGTTTAATGCATGTTTTGTGTCATTGGACCAGTAAAAGTTTTTGAATTCTTTAAGGCTAAAAAAAGCAAGTTGACAGTGGAATTGTGATCGCCCCCCCCCCCCCCCCCCCCACACACACTCTCTAAAATGTCCCTGAGGAAATAATTAAAGGGGCTTCCTACGCTGGGTAGTTTCGTGACCTCCCTTTTGTAGGGCTAAATAAAAAGGTTAGAGCTTTGTAATAAATGGATGCCACCCATCTCAGGGCTCAAAGAGTATTTGATGTACCGGCATGTTTACCTGACTGTGGCTTCAGTGACATGAAAAGAAGAGAAAGGTTCTGACCCAAGTTCCTTGAGGGTCATGAGAATAATCAACAGCGAGGGCCATATTTTGTTTTTTAGAAAAAGACACATTTATAGCAAATGGGGTTGGGTTTTTTTTTTGCCAGAAAGGAATTATTGCCATTTGTACTAAAATGATGATAAATGCTGGAGAACCTCTAGTAACAACAGCCCATTATTGTATTACAAATTACTGCTGCAAGAGAAGGGAGAGTATGATTTATGATGCCTCTCATTTCAGGTCAATGGTGATAAGTTTCCATTGAAAGGTGTGGGTGTGCTCACTGTGGTCATTGATGCCTGTTCTGGAAGAGTAACAAAAGAAACATTTTTCACAGAAGCAAACATCCAGAACCTCGAAGATTATATAAAAACTCAAATTCCCCAAAGGTATAGTAATACAATATAAACCAATCAGCTTGTTAATTGTATTTTTTTTCTGGGAATATTGCATTAGAATATTTGCATTTTACATTTGTACATTTTACAATGTACAAAGGTACTTTGTCATAATAGTTAAATGTTTTTCATGCAATACCAGTTAAGGGACTTTAGCTGTTTCTGTGCATAGCTAAAACCATTCACTTTATATTTGAAACTATGGGAGATGTTCCACTGCTCTAGTATAAAATTTCAATGGACACAAACATCACATGCTAGGAAAAGATCTAAACTTTGCTTAAATATTTTTGATGTTGTCATAAACTAGCAAATCAGGAATGGGCATCTTTGTTTTAATTTGCTCTGTTAGCTTCTGCTGGCCAACTCAGAGAGGCAAAGAACGGGGCAGAGGCATTTCAGTCCTACCACCAGTATCTTCCCTCAAATTCCTGAGATTTCAGCATATGTTTCAAGAGTACATATGCAACATAAGAACTAAGAAGCAGTTATTAGAAGAACAAAAATACGGAGCTGAATACTTAATATTAAATGCAGTACTTCAGTTTATATATCCACGAGGGATATATTCCGGGACTTGCCATGGAAACCTGAAACCACAGATAAAAGTGAACGCTATTGCAATGAACAACTTCTAGAGAAAGCAGTCCGTAGAATCATGCTCGAGGGCCTAGAAAATGGCTAGAGAAAACAGCTCTCTACCATTTCTAGGGCCTCCAGCACAACTCTTTGGTCAATTGCTTGCAAAAATATACAATAAAATCACAGTGGAGAACCTATAAAATTCCTAGAGAGAACATATTTTTTTCAGACAGAAAAGTGACATAATGTGTACTAGTCTTGTGATATGGAAGTCATATTGTGTACTGTGATGATAACACCATAGAATGCACACAACTGTGGCTGCATTTATTATTTTACTAGTAATAGATTAGGTTACACAGATATGGTGCAGTCCATGTTTTGTACTGTGACTCCAAGAATTCTCACTATTGGCCATGTTGACAAGGGCTGATGGGAGTTTCAGTTCATCAACATCTGGAATACCATACAACCTGCCCCCTCATAACACCCCATATTAAGATGTATCCCAAGAGAGCTAAGAGATGAAGCTGCCAGATTATTGCATTTTAAGTGAACAACTTTGCAGAAGATGAAAAATATGACTCTTAATAGTTTAAATGAAGAGCTGAAGATATTAATGTAAGCCATGTTCATATGTTGCACTGAACTGTAGTAAACTTTGTTTACGTTGTAGTTGCACTGTAGTAAACATTCAGAATCTAGCACATAAAATTCAGTTCTATAAAACATAGTACAATACGTACTTGTGAGAGAGCTAGCATAGTATAGTGGTTGAGCACTGAACTATGACTCTGGAGACCAGCTTTCCCACTCAGCTTTTCCACTCAGCCATGGAGCCCACTGTGTGATTTCAGGCATGTTGCACTCTCTCCGCCTCAAAAGAAGGCAATAGCAAATCTCTGAACAAATGTTGCCAAAAAATCCCTGTGATCAGGCCAAATTAGGGTCGGAAACAACTTGAATTTACACAACAACAACAACAACAACAAATGTACTGGTGATAGTAAATCAATGCTCTTCTCTATTTCTCCCCTTAATTCCTGATTATCTTTCCCTCAGATCTATCGTCCTATTGAGCACCAGAGGGAATATAAAGAGCCTTAACATTTCTCAAGCCCTGATGACACTGGGAGCAGCAAAACCAGCGAGTCTTCAAAGATTAGGTTTGTTTTCCTTTACATATAAAAGTACATTTCTCTTTATTAGAAATTGTATTTTAAAGACGTTTTAAATCGGTTTTGTAACAAGTTTGGAACATTAATTAAAACCAAGTTAACTGTAGACTTTTAAAATGTTCAGTAGTATGATCATTGCATGGTTGTTTTTTAAAAAGTATTGATTATGGCTATTCTGTTCTGTAACACAAATTTCCCCTATTCTCTCTCTCTTTTCCTCTCTCTGTCTTGATTTTCTGTTTCAGGGTCCATAAGCTTTATGGGTTTTAGAGGAAACTTTAAACCATCTTGGATAAAGCTCTTTACCAGTCCTGCGGGGCAGGGCCTCGGTCCTATAGAAAAATATATCCCTCTACAGTTGGAAGAATATGGTTGCGCCAGGGTGAACACCAGCCGACGGAAAGATTTGGAACTTTTAAAACAGGCTCTAAGAACGCAATAGAAATGTAAGGTGCAGATGAGCACTGAAGACAATGTGAACTAATTTATTTATTTGATGAGATTTTAAAATGTACTCTTATCTCAAGTACATCACTTTGCTGTTTTGATATGGACATATGCCTTCGTCGAATGCTTGAATGCCAGTCTGTGCACCTTTGGATTGTACAAAATATTAAAGAAGTAAAGTATTTGTTAAAATGCAGGTTTTTAGGGGAGGAAGCTTCTAATGTTTGTACTTATTATAAAAAAGCCTTTTGTCTGTTAGTCTTTTTGGTGTTGTATTCTTGAGACGGTGAGGATACTAGAATTATATTACCTACTTTGGAGAGATTTGATGAGAAAATACAGCATTGCCCCTTGGTTACCTGAAAGTCTTTAATGACACACATACATATCTTTTGTGAAGTCTAGTTTGTACAATTTGTTATTTTTTCACCTTTCTTTCCAACTTACATAGTTTGTGCACATGAATAGGGACTAATATAAGCCAGAAAATGAGAGGACAATAATGTCCCTGTCAGAACAAGTTTAGGTCTCATAATAGTAAGATGGAAAGAAAGTTACTGTATATTCTCGAGTATAAGCCTAGTTTTTCAGCACATTTTTTATACTGAAAAAGGCCCCCTCGGCTTATACTCGAGTGAGGGTTGTGGTGGGAAAGTGTGGGGCTGAAAGAAGTCCTTTGCAGGGCTTCTACCAGCTGTGTGCCTTTTGGCACAGCAACCCAGCTGGATCTCTGTGCTGAGAGAGGTGGAGAGGGAGGTGTGCGGCCTCTCCTCTTGGCATAGCCACCTACCTGGGTTGCTGTACCGAGGGGAGAGAAGAAGCCATATGCCTCAATTAATGCAATTTTATCGGTTTCTGTTTTTATTTTGAAATTTACCAATAGCTGCTGCATATCCCACCCTAGGCTTATACTCGAGTCAGTAAGTTTTCCAAGCTTTTTGTGGTAAAATTAGGTGCCTCGGCTTATATTTGGGTCGGCTTGTACTCAAGTATGCACAGTATATAATTCCCACCTAAATTTTCATAACTATCAATGTGCTGGTAATTGATGTTCCCTTCACAAATATTAGAATGCATCTGCTCTCTCCTCAGATGATGAAGAGCCTCGTGGTCCCTTAGCATTTACCACTTTGAAATGTCTTATGTGGTTACATCAAACATTTGAGATGCCAGTCTCTACTGAAGCAGTAATGAATCCCTTACCACAGCTCTGATTGTTTCCCTACAGTTTTAGATGGTTTGTGTGACCAGTGAGATCAGCATTATGTTTTGTTGCCATAGACATCATGAAACAAATCAAGCCTAAACATATCCCCAAACTAGCAAAAGCCAAAAGATGATTTCTCAGTTGTTCATTCTGAGAGATGTCTCTACATTTGAGTGATGTCATCAGCTAACTGGTAGATGGTGTCAAATCTTCTGACTTTACCAGAGAAAAGGCAACTGTGCCTTCCACTTATACCCCAATGCTATCTTTTTAGACTCCGTACTGCTCCTACAAGCTCCATCTTCATTTTAGATTTATTCCTGCTAGGATTCCCTTCCTTAGCGTGGCACACAGGTCAATGAGATTAAAAAGCTTGAGAACTTGACTCTGTGGAATTTCCCCTGAGTGTGTCTGTACTCTAAGAATAGACGTTTGATGCTACTTTAATTTCCATGGCTCCATTCTAGAGACTAGTGAATTAATTGGAATTCTGAGTTCATCACCAAACTAAAAAAAAACCCCAGCATTCTGTAGGATATACTAATGGCAGCTATTGCAACATCATGTTTCTATATCTGCTAGAGCAGATACAATCATCATCATGTCTCTTGCTAATCTAGTGAAGCTCTTTTTTTATTTATTTGTCATGTCAGGATGACCAGTCAAATTATATTAGATTTCTAACAGAACAAAGCAAACAAACAGACAAAATACAAAATTTGCGGGTTTGGTAGCTGATTAAATGTCCTTTGACCAGTATCTGGCCACTTGGAGTGCTTCTGGTGTTGCTGCAGGAAGGTCCTCCATTGTGCATGTGGAAGGGCTCAGGTTGCATTGCAGCAGGTGGTCAGTGGTTTGCTCCTCTCCACACTCGCATGTCGAGGATTCCACTTTGTTGCCCCATTTCTGAAGGTTGGCTCTGCATCTCGTGGTGCCAGAGCGCAGTCTGTTCAGCGCCTTCCAAGTTGCCCAGTCCTCTATGTGCCCAGAGGGGAGTCTCTCATTTGGTATCAGTCATTGGTTGAGGTTCTGGGTTTGAGCCTGCCACTTTTGGACTCTCACTTGCTGAGGTGTTCCAACGAGTGTCTCTGTAGATAGTGAAGCTCTGAGAAGAAATCCTCATTTCATGAGGAAACTCACTTAGCAATTTGAAATCCAGCAATTCTTTCTTCTCAGAGCTTCTCAGAGCTAGTGAAGCTCTGAGAAGAAAGAAAGCTGGATTTCAAATTGCTAAGTGAGTTTCCTCATGAAATTTAGACTATGGAGCTTTGGACAAAACAGGATACTTTAACTTCTTTTCCTTCACATGAGTGGGGAGGAAAGGATGGAAAAGAATGAATGAGAAAATGTGTTAACTACCAGAAGGCAGTTCCTACCCAAGCAGGTTGTGCCAGCATGTCATTGGAAACAGACTGCATGCAACACTCCTTATGCCTTTTCTAATTATTTGAATAAGCACTTTTGTGGGAACATGAGACCATAAGCACTCCATTAAAAAAGGTTTTAAGTACTTGATGTAACCGAAGGAGGCAAAGCTTGACTTAAAGCTGAACACTTCTTTTTGAGAGATGGTCTGCTATAAGTTATAACTGAAGACTGATACAGCAAAGAGAGCGGGATTGGCACAACCTACTAGGCAACAGGAGAAAAGGAACCTCTTCTCACATTTGAATAAATCATGATTTTCAAAAACCTCTTAAATTGAATTTTATTTTTATAACAATACAGACTGAAATTTTTTGCATCATTAGAGAGAGTAGGAAAAGTGAGTAATTGCAATATTCTTACATCACAGTCTCTTCTTAGTTTCCTTATTTTAAAGAGATCCCTATGTAAAACAGAGTTTTCCTGTCTTTCCCGTGCCTTCCAAAGTCATCTCCAGATATTTGAGAGGGGAGGTAATGGCTACAGGGAGACACAGTTAAAAGCAAAGTTGGTGTGAATCATTCCCCACCATCATCACCACCACCATCTCATGAACAGAAAGACTGCTCTGTGACCTTGGGGAAAGACATTTTTAATTTTTGTGTTCTAGGGACAGTCTAGTCATTGGGGTATATGCAAGGGGAAAAATGAGTTTTATCCTAGTCTATGAGGGGAAGCAATTCTTTTCCATGGGAAAAACCAGCCCATGACTTTTGAGAAACAGATATGGACTATTTCCAAGATACCTAGAACCAAAGTTTTCAACTTTTGACTCATGTGATGTTTTGGATATGGGTTTGCATAATCCCCACACATTGGCAATTCTCCTTTGGGCTTCAACGAGTTGAAACCCAAAATATGTGGAAAGGTAAATATTAGAACCACTGGGTTACGCTAAATTTCCAATAAGTATTTTTTCCCATTCTTTTATTTATATCCAAATTCTCTAAATACCCACAAGGATCTCCAGAACAGGAAAAACAACTGTTTTAAGCTTTGCTAACTTTGCACACTATACAAAACACATGTACATGCTGCCTGTATTGTAACAAAAATTATTTGTCACTGGGGTGCCGCACGCCTTAGTCTCTTGCAGCAAAAGCAGCATACATATCTGTACTTTTGGAAATTATTGTGTGCAGGTATAAATTTTTAATGTAATTGTAATGGGGAAGTGTTGGTAACTAGATACTAAGGCTGCATGTTTCTTTTCATATGCACAGATATTTATTAATTTATAGTGGGAATTTTAGTCAATAAGTTTTCTCAACTTTTTCTTTCATGTGGAGCTTTTGTTCATTGCAACAAAGGAACGTAGGCTGAAAATCACCAGAAAAATGCATATGGAACAACTGTAACCCATGAACACAGGGATTCCCAGTTCACACAGTTCCTCTTAATCCTCAGTTAATATTTAGATATTTGTGAATACAAAACATCATACAAGGATGCATTAGGGAGAGCACTAATTTACAACCAGGAGTCCTGGAAAGAAATATGAAGATTAATCTTAGTTCATTTCCCCACTGGTTATCATGATTCCATATTTACTGTCTTTTTAGTCAGATAGTCTTCCTATGGGTATTGTATTTGAATACAGAGTTTAAAATAAGCTTTTACAGATACGTATAAAATATGTATTTTTCCCCACAAACATGCCTTTTGTGCAAGAAATACAGAGGAACTGGGCTGGTTCATCATGTTGCCTTACACAATATGCTACCTCAGTCATTGCCAATAAATCATTCATGGTAATAACCTCCATTTGTGTTGCAAATCCTTTAAAAAGTTTATGCGTTACCAAGCAGTTGCTTATGTTACGAAAATAAAATGTTTGAACAAGTTACTAACTCACAAAATGAGCTTTAGGACTTTCTGTTAAGAGCAATTTGTCAAAGTTGCCTTTTAAGGTTTACGTGGTCAACATCTGCACAAGACACCCATTTCTAGCAATAGAAAGTCCATCATCCTGTTGAGCATGTAAAATATGATAGAAACTAATGGGGGGAAAAAGAGGCACCCATTTTCTTACCACTACTGGTGAAACGAGGGGAGGGGGGGAAATGTGATAACTACTGTGGCTTCAAAAGAATACTTCCGTTTCCTTTTTCCTCCCTTGTTTCGATCTGCTGCAAGTTCTCAATTAATTCAATTACATAGACATAGCTGTGTCAGTCTCAAACAGAGCTTTCCAAATTGTGTGCCATTTGCAATGTGTAAGCATGTCGCATAAACACGCTGGATCTATGTGAAAAAAAACAAATCACATATTTTTAAAATATATAAATAAAACATTTCCATAGGATTTGTTATTATTTCATTATTACAATTTATGTATGTGCTCATATCTCTTATAAGAGTTGATTTAACCTCCAGTTTCCTAGTAAAACTCTGAATTACTGTGCCATGAGATGATGCATGTCTACAAAGTGTGTCACCAACATGAATGTTTGGAAAGTTCTGGTCTAGAATATCAATATGCTAAGAGATCTTGCAACACCTTAAGAGACTGAGAGAATGCAGTTAGTCACATAAACTTTTGTAGACAGTCTACTTCCTCAGATGCTACCAAGTTGGTTCTCTTAGTCTCTAAGATGCTACAAGCCCTTTGTATAACTGTATTACATATAGCCCTATGGCATTAACTGCTTGGATAGCTTTCAAAGTAGATTGGATAAACACATGGAGCTTAAGGTTGTTAGTTAGTAGCTACTATTCATATTGGCTGTATTTTACCTCCAACGTCAGAGGCAGATGTTTCTCAGTTGCTGGGGAACATGAGCAAGAGTGCAGTATTACATTCTTCTTTCTTGGAAATTTCTCATGTACACTGATAGGCTCTTGTGATGGATTATATAGACTTTTGGACTCTTAATACATTTTTCATCAAAATCAACGCAGCCATGTGCCCTTCCATGGATATTTTCCTTCAGTGTCCCAAACCCACAATGAACCTGCTATTCGATTTTTAACTGCCTGGGAGAGCCTTTGGCATCATGGTATTTTTTATAAATACAAAACACCAACTAATTTCTTGCCTCCTTCATAAAAACAGGAACAGAGCTGGGTCAAAAGGGTAGAAGTAGAAAAACAGGAGGAAGTGCAGAAGTTGAGAAACTGAACTTCACAAGCAAATTTTATCTCCTTTCTCAGTTTTATGCTTATTCTAAAATTATATCAGCTTTGCTTGCAGATCTGAAAGAATTGCTGGTGATATGCCAACCTCCTATCAAGGCTTCCACTGAGACTTTTTGTTTTGGGATTTGAAGAGGTTGATGCAATTTGGGAGAGCTGCATCTCCCTTTTCTAGCGTCATTGGTTTAGCTTACTGGGTGATAAATGGCTAATCCATTCCAGTCATTTTTTCTTGGATCAACACTGCTTTGTGGTTTTTGTTTATTCTCCTGTCCACTCATGGAGGCAAATTGTGATGCTTAGGGATGTAGACATAAGAACTGTCTAAATGTAACAAATGGGATCCAGATATGTAAATAGCACTTGGAATTAGAGGTGATATTTCCCACAGTCTTGCTATTCAAGACTTGGGTTCTTTCTCATTTCTAGCTTCAAAATGATTTATTGCATTTTACTAGAAGTCTTTGGTCTTGATTTGATTAACCAATCTGCTCATAGCAGAACATGAAGATTGCCTATAGCTGGCCTTCAACTAAACCTACTAGCCGAATGACTAACTTTCATAGTGGAGTGCTGTTGGTGGACTCATTCTTCACCTACGTCTAGGAATCCAAATTGGAAATTAGACACAGGTTAGATGATTGCATACACAAAGGAATTTCAGCAGATGTTTGTCATGCAAACAGGCAACAAACAACACATGCTGAAGCCCTTTCTTTCTACGACTATTAAAGGTACAGAGGCCATGGTCAGATTTCACTATGGAAATGCTGGAGCCCCCGGGGGTGCAGTGGGTTAAACCTTTGTGCTGGGATGACTGAAGACCGGAGGTTCGAATACGGGGAGAGTGCAGATGAGCTCCCTCTGTCAGCTCCAGCTCCCTATGCAGGGACATGAGAGAAGCCTCCCACAAGGATGGTAGCATCTTTGCAGACACACAACACCAGAAGCGACTTGCAGTCCTGACACACAAAAGAAACCCCTGGAAATCCTATGTGTATCTAAGTTAGCACTACTATGTTCACTGTAACAAGTATTACAAGAATCATGAGAGACCAGCAGTTTCAAGAACACAGTATAATGGATGCTGCTCAAGACTGCCCTATATCGAAAAGCAGTACTGTATGGTACTCAGGAATAGCGTGGATTTCCAAAAGCTATCTGGCAGGTCAACTAGGGTGTCCCTGTTATTATTTTTTTCTTTTCTTAAAAAAAAGTCAAGGTAGCTTTTTAAGATACTAGTATTCCTAATAAGCTGGAAATTGAAGCTTTCTTTTATTGCATGACCACTCTAAGAGATGTCTCTTCTCTCCTAGAGAATAACACTTAGGCAAAATGATGGGCAGAAGTTTCTAAAGCAGACTTTCATAAAAGAAAAGTAAGTATTGGTATTCCATGGAGAACATAATATTCACACAGTCCAGTTTTCTACTGGAACAGCTCAACTTTCCCTCTCTTTGTTCAACCTGGTTTAGATGACATTAAACTCTCCTGCCCGATAAACCTACATTTCCTTTTAGGAAGTTCCTTCAGCTGTTCACATTTCTTCACTTCCTATTCATTATTTTTTCTGTATTTCGAAAGGAAGAAGAGTGGTTAGAACTTTTTCTGTTTTAGTAAGCACTTATCTTGCCAAGCAGATTACATTTATATGGTACATTTGTTTTGGAATGTGTTATCTGTTGAGCCAGTTTCATATTGGTTTTTCCGGAAAAACAAACAAACATAAGATTGTCCTCTCTTGTAATTGTAAGCTGTTCAAGAAAATGCTGATACTGTCAAAATAGTTTAAAAAATAAATAATACAGGTTTTGCATCCCTTATCCCAAATGTCTACATTCAAAATAATTAAAAATGCCCATATGGGTGATTAGGATGGTGGGACTTTTGCTTTCTGATGATAGTTCAATATATAGAAACTTTCATGAAAAGTATTAAATATATTGCATAGCATGGCCTTCAGTCTCTATTTAAGCATTAAAAAAACATAAGATTGTCCTCTCTTGAAATTGTAAGCTTCTCAAGAAAATGCTGATATATTCAAAAAGTTGTTTTAAAATAAATAATAATGCAGGTTTTGCATCCCTTATCCCAAATTTCTACATTCAAAATCCAAAATTGTCCTTCTGGGTGACTAGGATAGTGGGAATTTTGCTTTCTGATGATAGTTCAATATACAGGAACTTTCATGCACCAAATTATGAAATATATTGCATAGAATGGCCTTCAATCTATATTTAAAGAATATGTGAAGCATACATGAATTTTGATTTGAATTCCAGCTCTAAAATATCTCACTTAGCACATATACTCAAATACAAGTATTTCAACATCTGAAAAAAATCCTAAATCCAAAACACTTCTAGTCCCAAGCATTTTAATAAGGGATACTTATGCTGTAATAATTTTGATTCTTTGAATATCTTTAAAAATAAGTTAAATTGGTTTTATGCTTTATAGATGTTAATTGGGTACTGAAACATTCAAAATTAATATTTGATCAACAACAATAGATTCTACATGATATTTATAAGTTTGATTTTTTTTAAACCAGGCAATGCAGCTCATATGCTTTCCCCCTGTTTCTGCTTAGGGACAATACAGGTGACATTCATAAAGTTATTTAGTTCATTGTAAAAATCTCTTCTGAAAAAATCTAACCAAGAGATCCTGTGATAGGGTCACCTTAGGTTGGAAATGACCTGACGGTACACAAGAACAACAAAATAAAAATAACAGATGCATTCAACAACATTAGGAATGATCATTTCCTATAACTTATTATATCTATCTGAATGCAGGCAAATGCCTGTTGAGGTGTTACAAAAAAAAAAAAAAAAGAATTATAACTGGATGAGCCATAACAGGGCAGAGTCAGAGTTTGGAGAAAAATGTACTAAAATCCCAGAATATTCTAACCAATATGGTATCTGAGCCATAATGCCAGTGAACATCTCTTCCAAGTACCATGTGAAGACAAGTATTTTGCACCAGGGTAGTCTGCACAGATATACGTGGCTTGGTTTCCAATTATCCAGGCCATTGGGCAGGGCAGTCCAAAGGTGTTTCTTTTTCATGTTCATTCGAACATAAGAAACCTCCATTCAGTTAGGAACCTTGAATTTTCCGAGTACCCAAACCTTCCAGAGAAGGGGTGTCAAACTCATTTTGACCAAGGGCCACATCACCCTTATGGTTGCCTACAAGGGGACATTAATAATTGTAAGACAGTGTAATTAATGTAACTCACTACAATGTGTTTTTAAAGCCAACGTTTCTCTCCCATATAACTTTGGTCATGGTAGAACATAGAAAATGAATTTTTCTGAATGGCAACTCTCACACCCCACCAGGTAGCATTGCAAGTCATAGAATCATAGAAGCAAAGAGTTGGAAGAGACCTTGTGGGCCATCCAGTCCAACCCCCTGCCAAGAAGCAGGAAAATCACAATCAAAGCACCCCTGGCAGGTGGCCATCCAACCTCTGTTTAAAAGCCTCTGAAGGAGGAGCCTCCACCACTCTCCGGGGCAGAGAGTTCCACTGCTGAACAGCTCTCACAGTCGGGAAGTTCTTTCTAATGTTCAGGTGGAATCTCCTTTCTTGTAGTTTGAAGCCACTGTTC